TTCTTGACAACAATAAGACTACTGTATCACTCATCATGATGAGGTGTTTGATTGAACATGAACAGCAGCCGATGCCGCTCACTTTTGCTGCCACTTCACTATATGTACATGTGTGTGTGTGTGTGACATACTCAATATGCAGAAAAGTATTGCATGTATGTGTCGATGTTTAACTTGATTAGATAGATTCTTCTTTACTTTGATGTGTATGTGTGAGATGGGATAGAGCGATTGTTTCTGTTGTCGTTCATTAAAAAAGATCAACCCTACCTGCGTTTGAAATGAATTGCACGTGTGAAAGTTAGTGAACTTTGCATAGAAGATTTGTAATCAATCAATTAATCTTCTTTCAAACATGTTCTTTGATAAGCAACGAGAAGATTCGTTTTTTTTTTTGAACATCAATGATAATTAGTGATGAAGAAGATTAACATTTTGTGTTTAATGCAGAGAGAAAAAAAAGAAAGAACAATGTCCTTAAATTTGTTTCAATTAATTCAGAATCGATATTAACAATTTCATCGAAGAATACGAGGGAGTGTTGAATATTCTTTTTCTAGGTCGAAATTTTCTTCTCCGACCTTCCTATTCTTCAACATTCGAAAAGGATCTCATTGAATTTCAATTCATAAAGATTTATACATAATCAAAATCTTGAGAAGCTTCATATAACTCTCTTTGTTCGTTCGATCTTATCCAACACACAGAAACGAACACCATAAATTCGTTCTAATTAGCCTCATACAGCTATGGTCTATTAGACTGAATGTCGCTTGCTCAATTGATTGGAATAGAAATGAAATTCATACGCTTAGTGCAGAAATAAACTAACAGCATGTTCACCTTGTATTTAGACTATTTTTGCACATTTATGGTTTTGTTTATATTATTACTTGATCAATTCTATCTGTAGACAACAGAGGAAGAAAACGTATAATTGATTAAAATCGTATTAACAAATTCTGAAGGCTGCATCAATGCCATTCATTCGTATATAGTTTCGAAAAGAAAATGATCCATGCCAAGATCTCTTCACCATTGCGTTCTCCATCTCGAAGAAAACGACAAACTAGTAGTGGCAGGTAAAATACAGCTCTAAGAAGGCCAATCAACTCATTTGCGATTTACTTAGGACATGCAATGGATCAGCAAAGATTCGACAACAAAATGAGGAAAATATTCTATCAGGTTTCACTCAGAGTTGGATAAACTCTTTACCCTTGTGCCTTTTTTCTCATCTTGAATAGATTCACTTCCCGCTCGACATTCAAGTTTCTACAAACGAAATAAAGAACACTTAAAGATCGGTAATATTCTACAAAGAAAGAAAAGCTTTGTGATTGCACCTGATGGTAATTTTCTCGATTGTTTTTCCTATCAGAGTTTATTGATTATATTTAGCTTCTATACCAAATTCAAGTTTTCGTGCTGAGCTCAAAAGAAAAGAAATTCAACCGGTGGAAGTGGAAGTTTTTCGATTGCGATTGGTATAAGTTTGTTACTTAATAATTCAATTGAATAAAGTATCCCGTTTTAGGATATTCTAAAAAATCTTCAAGTAGGAAGGAAGTATTGACGATTGTTGAATATCATTTTCTTCCCAAAGGTGAATGCGGACGATTCCGATGTCCCAAACAATGATGACGACCGCCGTGAGAAAGCTTCAAAGTCAAAATCAACTGATAAAAAGAAACTAAGAGGTTTGATAGTCTATTGTTCATCACTTTTCTTGAAACAATTCTTTATTTTTAGGAATATTTGCAACATCTCAGAAAGTAAATTTTCCGTGTCAACCTCAAAATTTTCACTACGGATCAATTTAGGGTCAAAACGGACTGCCATCAGAAGACATGGTACACAATAAATATTGGACTAAAGTAAATTTCTATCACCAATCGATTGTTTGTTATTTACATTGTTTGAGCAGGATACAATGCCGCAGTTATTTAAACAAATGGAAAATGAAGTCTGGTGGAAGCAGACTAACGATGAGAAACCGAATCTTCTTTCAATGTTAATGTATTTGATAGAAACTATCAAATTCAAACAGATTGAATCTTATGAATCAGCATGTTATTATGTCATCGAGATTTTTCGGTAGGGCCATTAGTGAGTTTTATTAGTACTCTATTGACGAGTTTTTGTTTATCTTTAAAGAACATTTGGTATTGAATCGCTGTTTGTCAATCAAACTTTGAACATTCTTCTTAAACATCTTTCAACGAATGGAAATGATCCATTAAATAGCTGTACCATCCGTACAATTGCTCAGTTTATGATCGAACAGAAAGATATTGTCATTCAATTAATTGAATACGCATCGAACCTTCCGCCGGTAAAGTCATCTCCTGATTTTACCTTTCGAAAATAAAACTTTGATATTTGTATTTCAGAATCACACTCTTCGACAAGATGTTATCAATGCAATTAAGTTCATAACAGATATCAGTAGTTCAGATGACATCGAGCTAGTTCTTGGCAGTGTAGCTGTTGTTCATGTATGTCACCATCTTTCATTTTGTTGTCGAACAACGAATGATTTTCTTGAAGGATTATCCAGAAGATAATTTCTCTCTGAAAGCCATTGTAACAAATCTGGCTAATGCACCCAGAGAAGCAGCACCAGCATCCGAAGTAGGAAATGTAGACGATGAAATGGAAGAAATCCATCCATTATTGAAGAAAATTTCAAAAGAAAAATGGTTTCCCAAAGAAAACCTACCGATCACTGTCGATTATGTATTAGACGCGATCATAACGAAATTGTCGGATGCGACGAAAGCAATGATCAAAGTGTTGACAACACATTTGGTGCAAATGCATCAGTAAGTGTTCGACGAATACTGATATTGAATGTATGGTTAATACTTTTCAGTGTAATTGGATATTCGAAAGAACAGTTCGACCGAGTTTCGGATACTTTGATATTGTTGCTAGCAAATCCTGAAGCTGATTATCGTTTGATCGCTGCAACAAACCTTGCGAATCTCAAAACAGAGACTAAATCGATTGATATTGCATTGTTGTACTCATTTGCAAACGATCCTCGGGTAAAATTCTTGCTTCTTTTCTTTTTCTTGTTGATGACATTCAAAATTTCATAGATTCTCGTTCGTACTGAATGTTGTGATTCATTGAAAATATTGACAGGAATCAGTTCTGATACTCTCTTAAAAGACTGTGTAGAAGACATTCGATATTTACAGGTATGTATGAACCAATATCGAATGGTGCGGAAGGATTTATTTTTCTTCAGACTTTACCGGAAGAAGATTTCACTCTGCAAAATTATTTGAGAGAAAAGAATCGTGTACCAACTCCACCGACACATACTAATGAGGAACTGACCGTGTCTGATCAAAATGTGAATGTCGATCCAACGGAAGTGAATGAAAATATAACACCTGTGCGTGTTTCTCGTTCGCCTACTCCAGTAATGATCAATCGAATATCTATACCAATACAGTTCGAATCTAATGCCATGGAAAATGGAAAGTTATCAAGAGCATCGGACAAACGATTGGATCGACGTGATACTGAAGAGAAGTCGAAGTCAATTTCATCACATTCATCGGAAGAATTACCTCAAAAACGTCAATCACTTATATCAGTAAAAACTCCAATTTCAATTCAAATAACTCCAAAACGGTAATGCATATGGCACTCGTCTTTCTCAATACATTCATCGTTTATTTCAGTTCATCTACTTTATCGCAGACAACGACAGCTTCTCATTCCCATGTCACTCTGAATCGTATGTGATAAAAAAAAAGTCTACATCTTTCGTTTATCTTTGATTCTCTTGGTATCCTAGATGATGTTGAAGAAAAGGAAAATAATCAGATTGAAGAAAATTTCGATTCACCTTCGCAAACGACCATCATCAGCGATGCCGTTCAAACAATTCTCGAAGAACATAAACGAATCGTTGGTTTCTACCGTATGATTCCAAATCGTCCTATTCTTATTCCACATAAGATCACCATGGATAACATCCTCAGCGATCAATCGCATATAATCATTCATCACCATTTCTCTCGCTTGCGTAATCCTAACCGATACACATTCCGAACATCATCAAATCCGATGAATTCGATGAGTTTATTTGACTTCAATTACAATCAACGTCATTTATATGAAATTGAATCAGTTCAATTACTGTCATCGCTAGTTGTACGTGCTGTGCAAATACATCGTCATCATGATCGATTCATTCCTGGTTCATTTTCGGCAAACTTTCCTAATCTATTAAATGTCACACCAATACGTTTAGTGAATACGTCATCTAAATTATCACCAAATCCACCAGCACGATCCCCATCGAGACAATATACTCACCTACATTCGAAAGTACAAACGAGGGCAATCAGAGAAGGTACAAACTAACACAATACTTATTTCTAATTTCCAATTATTCACATAGGTATCAATATCCATCGAGCTCAGAATATGCGTGATGTTCTGTCTAATCTTCTGAAAACTGATCCTGAACCGTCAATAACACATCTTTCAAATTCTGAGCATACTCATATCACTCATGCCTGGCTTCTTAGTCACTGTATGTTTCCATCGTATTGTTGTACCTTATTGTGATATGATCATATTTTCTAGTACTAAAATCACAAGGCGTTATCTATTCAGACAGTTGTCTGCAAAAAATTATTCATTCTTATCCAAAGTTTCTCCCTCTACTTCACACAAGAATTCCAAATCATCTCATATCTGTGATTTGGAATGATCCCATTCTCAAACATATCGCTTCCATATTCAGACATAAACAAGTAAGATAGTTAGTGCGACCTTTTCAGATTGACTTAATCCATAAATTTAGAATTCGATAATGGACGATAGCTCATCAGTTCATATAAGGTGAATTTATGTTTCTTTTTGTCAGAAATGAAAAGAATTTAGTTTTGTTTGATGATTTAGCGATACAAGCTCGTCAATACCCATTACTGAAGATGAATATTCATTGAACAGTTTCGAGTACCTATCGCTCATGCATCGTGATGATCAGAAGAAAAGGTTTTTGCCATCCATTCGGCCAACGAAAATGTAATTAGTACATTTTCGGATCGATGATATTTGACTAGGATTTCGTATAGGGAATATCCACGTCAACTTCTCAAGGTTGGCTTTAGTGAATTAGAAATCAACTCCACTATCTCATCAAATATTTCTTTGCCTCAAGAAAATAAAGTCAAATCTCGTAAACGTCGAGTTTATATGCATTTCATGGTGAGTGACTTTTTAACTTCAACTGGTATTTTAATGTACCATTATCCATTTTAGATGTCGTCAAACGAAAGTGTGGTAAGTAATTTGAGATAACATACTATTTACGGACGAAAATATCTGCTGCATAGTCGGACCAACAAGAGCCTGTCAAAAGTCGATCACGGCAAATGTATAAGGCTGATTATCAAACAATTTCCTACCTTCCAATCGTCTCTCGAGTTCCAACATACAAATAAGAACTAGTTTTTACTTTTTCTATAATACGTATATGTACAGAAACTGTTTTAATCATCTGAGAGCGACATCATTCTTACCCTTTCTTATGAAGTTAATTTCAATCGATCAGCGAATCAAAAATATACATCCGTAAGGATGGTGACGAACAATTTACCTCTATCATCGCATTTTTTTTGTTTATTCTACTTTCATATAAATAAATTGCGTGTCTAAATCTCGACTATTACTATTTATAGATTGTAACTGAAGCTCCTCGTCTAAATAGTTCACTATGTCGCAAGCTGAATTTGACAAAGCCGCTGAAGAAGTTAAGCAATTAACGAAAAAACCATCTGATGATGAATTACTTCAACTTTATGGTCTTTTCAAACGTGAGTTCAAAAGATAACAAGTAATTTGAAGATAAATTTTCAAATAATCATTTTTATAGAAGCAACTGTCGGTGACAACAACACCTCGAAACCAGGCATGTTCGATTTAAAGGGTAAATACAAATGGGAAGCCTGGGATAAAAACAAGGGCACTTCAAAAGAAGATGCTCAAAAGAAATATATCGATTTAGTAAAACAACTTCAAGCAAAACAATAAAACCAGTTCTACTCGATATATTGTGCTACGTTGTTTTGAACTTTCTCAATAAAACAGCATTCTTTTTACAAGACTATCCAGAAAGTTTGAAATGATCATACAGTATCAATCACAGATTGATATGGAGTTGATGATCGATCGAAATAATTTCGAAGTTGTTTTTGGCCACAACAGAACAGGTATGGAAGAATTATGATGAGTAATGGTGAAGTAACGATCAGAAGAAAAATAAGAAGTAAAAACAAACCGATCGTCAGCAGTCGATGAAGAAATAAAGATAAACGAGAGTGACCGAGTCTAAAAACAAAACAATCATTTGAAATAGAGCACAACAGTTCCATTGACAATTACCGATTGCGACAAGAACCGCGTTCATAATGTAAAAGAAAGAAATCCTTCTATTCGTCGTCAGTAAAAGATGTAATTGAGCAATTAGAAAATGAAAATCTTTCATACTTCTAAAGATCTCAAACAGTACCAACAGAAGATGTGTTTACAGTTAACACAGGTTATTTGGGCACATCCATTAACTCGTTCAAGAAGAACAGAACATCGTGGACAATGCTTGATATCCGAATGAATCGGATTCGCATAAGATATTCTGAAATGAACAAACTTTTAGATGACTTAACATTTGCCAGAAATGCTTCGTATTTACACTAATCGAGTGCAATCTTCAGTGGAATGCCATTCACGACGACATTTCGAGCAGATTGGATTATGGCACTATAACAATGAGATGCATGACTTTTGAAAACCGTTTGACCGTCTTACTCTCGTGCAAGTAATGGGTCGTTGCTTTCGCGCATCAGGTACTGCTAAAATGTGACCACAATCCACATGTGGACAGAAAAATCGTCGAGGATCATTAGTTACTTCTAGAGAGATTTAGAATGATTTCATGTCGTGATTAAAGCAAATAAATGCAATACCATAATCAAGTAACAGTTTGTTGTAAAGATTAAATTGAGCATTGGTAAGAAAAGAACGAATCTACAAGTAGAATCAAGAATACAATAGCACTTACCCATAACAAGAAATACTTCGTTAGTAGAGAGTGAATAATTACAACCATTAGTCGGACATTGTATTGGTATTGACCTAAATAAAATCCAAATTAGGAAACTAAATTCGAATATCTCAAGTTATACCCAATATTTACTTGACTGATCACATATTGATGTACACACTACAATTCTATGAAGTGATAGCTTCTTTCCAAAATACAAGTGCAAACCTGTTGACAAAATTGGCAATGACATGATGTTATTCGATAGATTTCGGATTTATTGTCCATATCATTATAGCAGATTGAGCATTGAAACGTGATTTCGTTCATCGTATTTTTGCCATATACTGTGTAACATTCAATTCAGCATGTTTATCTCTATCAAAATCATCTATAGAAAAAAGTCGAATGAGTTCAATCTCTTCTAGCATTTCTCTTTGTTCTAATATATTTCGGTTGAAAAGCCCGTACAAAAAAAGAAAATAAACAATAATCTTTCAATAAATATATACAACAATAACAACAAATACATTATATAAATGAATATAAAAGCTAAACTAAATCAATTTCCAACTTTAACCGTCTGTCCGTTTTCGATTGGATCAAAATCTTTTGCATTTGCATCATTTACATTGACTGGTTTTTCTTTAGATTCGATTGCAGCATCTGAAACGATCGAATGATATGCAATAGAGAATGGGAAGTTTCAAAGAGACCGACCTTCATCATCTCGTTTGAGTTTTGATGCGGTGATGCCATTCTGAAAGATGATTCACTCCAAACTAACTTGAAACTGAAATAAAATACGACTTACTTCATTTTTAGGCTCCTTAGTAGCCGACTTTTTCTTACGACCTGTTGATTTTTTCTTTGATATGGCTTTTCCTTCATCGGTAGGTTTCATGAGAAAGTTTAAGATTCGCTCAGCTTGTTCAGTATTTCGACCCGTTGACGTCAAACCGAGAAGGCGTAAGATTGAACGTAATTGCTCTTTTTTTAATCTGGAATGAACATTAGAAAATCATCGATTCATATCGATTTCATTGAAATTTACTTTGCTAAAGTGCCTATTTGTCTTTGATATTCGTCACTTTCACGTTCGAATGCAAAGCCATTGAATTCGCGGAGATGCTTTCGAATATTTGTTGAATTCTACAACACAAGAATGATGTTACTAGATCCACAAATTTAGATTCTATTTTTCATACTCCTCGTCGACCAAAACAAATAACTCGCATTCGAGACAATGTTTCACTTGACGCATGACTTATTTGATAATTAACTAAATCGAAATTCTTGAAAAACATTTGATTCTCTTCGATATTTTACATACTATATTCAATTTCACCTAGTGATTTACCATGACCCTGCGTAATACAAATAAACAGTTCAATGAACAATGGTCTGGACGACATGTACCTGTGGAATAGTTAACTCCTTTTTCGTTGGTGTTAATTTTGCTAATTCAAGACGTAATGTTGGTTTTCTCGAACGTTTGCCTTCGAGAAGAACCGGTCGTTCGAATAGTGGCTGTGTATCCATTTCTTCATCTTCTGTTGCTGATGCATCAATGATTTTTTCTTTTTCACTTTCAAGGCTCGTGTTTTTATCTTCATCGACTACAAGTCGTAACTCGAAGGAGACATCAGCTGGTGTTTCGTCGTTTTCAACGTCGTTGATTGTCGCTGATGACTGTTGTTCGGTCGACGCTTTTCCCTTAATGATGGAACAGTGGATGCGAAAGAAACTTTCTTTCTCTTACCTCGTCTTTGCAAGAAACACCGTTTGTTGTATCGAAATCGTTTTCACTAGTCATGTCTTATCTGAAAATATTTTCATTCGAATTGAATACGTGTCGATTTCAGTTTAGTTCAGTTTTTTCTTTCTCTTTTTCTTCTCTTCTATTTTGTAGCAGTAAGAATGTACCACTATATATCACATAATAGATCGGTTCGATCAGTGCGAATAATAGATAGAATCAAACATACATATTTCGATGACTTCTTCGAATAATCTGACCTGCATGATGCTTATTTTGTCTTAACGATACGCAACTCATTTCTCTGGCGATCACTTAAAATTCAAACTCTTCTCATTGCGATTGAGACTGTTGTGAATACACACAGATGTTATATATGAGCATGAGAGCGATTATAGTAATTCCATTCTGCACTTCCATCTTCACTGTCGATAGGTGTCGCACACGACAAAAGTTGTGTCAATGTTGAAATAAATAACCTTTGATAGAAGCTTGTGACCAGTGAAAATTGATCGTTTTTGATCAGAAAAGAAAATCTGAATATTCTTTTCTTTATCAAACTTTTCAGTTATTTTTCTCACGATTATTGGTTTGCTTCTTATCGAGAACAACAAAATATTTGTATGTCATTACTAACTAATCGAAATGCCGCTTGCCTTCTCCCATTTGATTTACTCTTGATTAAATTGCGTCAACTTTTCGATTATAGATCTATCATTCCCGTACTAAAAATCGTTTGCGTAGTATTTTTATATGTAAATATAAAATGTCATCAGGGTCCAACGATCAATGTGAACACTGTCATAGTGCTTTTTCATTCCTCAAAAAGAAAGTAAGACGAACGAATGGAAAATAGCTGATCAGTGTTGAATGATTTTCTTTAGAAAACATGTGCAATTTGTCGTCAATCTTATTGTTCAAATTGTGCACCACGTGAACGTAATCAAAGCTATCGTGCTTGTCTTATATGTCAAAAGATATCCAATGAAACAACTACAGATAGTCAATTACTCGAATTGAAAGTCAAACATTTACGAAGCTACTTGCAAGCGAAGAACATTACTCATCACACGTGTACAGAAAAACAAGAACTAGTTGCTCTAATAACACGCAATCGAAATGTTCCATTTACGAATTTGTATACTCAAGAAACATCGTCAGAACTAAACAATACAAATCAATCGTCAGCAAATGCTCAACCGCCGAAATCTGATAGTAGCGCGAAACCGTTTGCGAATTTGCAAAGCTCAGTTTCATCGTTTGCAAATCAAATGAACAGCTTTGCTTCGAACATACAAGACTATGTGGCAAATACAGTTTCCGGTGTTCTTAATCCAATTTTGGACGATCCACTACAACAACCGACTGCAGCGGGTGCTGGTAGTTCTCAAAATGGTGCACCATTCAATTTCAGCTCGGCTACGAATGGACCATCTCGTCAGACACGACCAACGCCTAATAGTGCTGCTCATACAACTTCAACTGCATCTGCATCTAATGTTCGACAATCAACGGCTAGTTCACATTCTGTATGTTTTCTTCTTTTTATCAATTGAATATCTATGTATTGTGTCGATTTTTAGACAACTAAACAGCAATCGCGTCGTAAATCTCTTAGTGAAATAAAAGATGAGGAAAATATAGAAGATTTAAATATTCGCGACTTGAAAGAAATTCTCGCTGCGAATTTCGTTGATTTCAAAGGATGTGTCGAAAAAGGTGAATTACTTGATAAAGTTCGACGATTGTATCGTGATAGAATCAATGAAAAGCATAAGGGTAAACCATTCGATTGCTTGTTTTATTCAATCTATCGAAAGCCAATCTAATTCTGTTTTTTAGCGAAACAACTTGATGATTGTCCCGCTGGTGATAACGAACTATGTAAAATATGTATGGATGCTATCGCGGATTGTGTCTTCTTAGACTGTGGACATATGGTATGTTACTGATTAGTCAAAAGCCAAAGACGTCTGATTGAATTGTTTAGGTAACATGTGTTAAATGTGGGAAACTACTTGCTGAATGCCCGATATGTCGATCAAATATCGTACGCGTTGTACGTGTTTTCAAATCCTAAATTATATTTTGTGGTGTTTTAAAGCGCTTTTCTGCCCTTTGTTTTTTTTTATGTATTTGTATAGATACTTTAAACAAAAGAATACTTTTTATAGAAAATAGGATGCATATCATTCTAATGAATATCCATTGAAACACAATGAAAGATTTTATTCTTTATTAACCTTCAAAGCTATTCCTATAGCTTGAGCAATTATAGGAGCTTTCAATTAAATGACTCATATCGCGTGGTAAAAAAGAACGCACCATGGTAACTTAATAACTGCAAATCGTATACATAATCGATCCTCATACATACATGTCAAATAGGTTAAAACGCGCAGGTACTAATAATTTCTCTAGCAGGTGGACGTTTTCTTTCTTGTCGGTGAATATTCATACAAACTATTAGCAATTGAATTTTCATATTACAGTCACACTAGTTAGAAGTTATGTGAGAATCAGGTTAACAACTGACATATGTTTTACTTGTTATACTTCGATACGTGATCGGTGAATTCGCTGTATAGTGTGACCTTCTAGTATATTTTGTTCGTTTCTTCACGCGGTCACCGATATGAACAAAGTTCAACATAAAAAGAAGCACTAGCAATCGATCCGCATGAGCAACTAACTTTGGCAAAAGTGTAAGTCGAATTAATTGTCAAACAATCTCAAAACATTTCTCGGATCCATCGTTAGAAGCACTTAGCTTCAAGGTTGTACTAATTCACAGCACCCACGAAAGTAAATACGACAGTCGACATCGTAAAAAAATATGTAAATGCACTTTTATGTATCATTCTTTTTCTATCCGATAGGAAAGAGTGCTTGCATACAAAATTATACGAGGCGTATGTCGTTGTGTGTTGAAAAAGAATGTCATATACTGAGAAAGATTATCAACGACTAGAAAATGAAGTGTCATATAATGATGTTTCCACTGAGACTTTACAACCAACGCTGGACTCATCGGTGATTGTGGATGACTCACCTCAATCGATTCCATCCAATAAAATATGTTTTTGTTCAACGTTGGTCTTTACAATCAATTTTGTGTCATCGATTCTTATTATTAATTTATCAAAATGGTAAAATAGAAAATCAAACTACGCTTTTAGTTTATATATGATCTCTTTTTTCAGGATTTATGTCAAACATCATTTTCCAAATTTGACGTTAACAACGATCAATTTTTTTACCTCATTCGTCCTTCTCTATCTTTGTTTACTAGCCAAACTATTCACTTACAAACGATTGCCAATCATCCGTATGTTGCCTGTTTCAGTATGTTTCGCTGGATTCATTGCTTTCGGAAATCTTTCATTACAATACAACACTGTTGGAACATATCAACTCATTAAATTACAAGTAACGCCAAGTATACTTTTTTGACAGACCTTATTGTCGGAATTCATTCGAATACGTTGTTTTTTCTTCCTAGCTGTCATGCTGATCAGTTGGTTATATTTTAAATCTCGCTATTCTTTACCAATTGTACTTTCTTTTATACCCGTTTTGATCGGAACATTGGTCAGTACTTACTATGACTTGCAATTTAATATATTCGGTCTCATATGTAAGGTTGGATTTGAAGTTTTTTTCCGTTGAATATGCATGAAGTTTTTAGGTGCCGGTGCATCAGTAGTCTTTACTGCTATCAATCAAATTCTTGTTGAACATTATCAAAAAGAATACGATTGTAATTCTTTACAATTATTATTCTATCAAGCACCACTTTCGGGTGTTTTATTATTGACTGTTATTCCATATTTTGAACCGCTAGATAATCTTCCAAGAATAATGAATTCGAACACGATATTACTTGTGCTACTCTGTGGTTTCATAGCATTTTTTGTGAATATTAGTGTGTTTTGGGTGATTGGCAATCTATCTGCTGTTGCGTATAATATGATTGGTCATTCGAAAACTTTATTGATCATATTCATCGGTTCTATTCTGTTTCATGAGCCATTCAATCAACGACAAATGGCCGGGTTAGGGTTTACTATGTGTGGTGTTTTGATGTATTCGTATTTCAAATATGGTCGAGCAGTATCATCGCCATCTCAATAGAGTGTGGGTTTTTTCGGATATGTTATGAATAAAATAGGTTTCAACCAGAATATTATCAATGAAATTCGTTTTCACTGATTTGTTAGTAATTTGAACTCAAAGATTCTCTCAATCACAAAAAAAACTTTTCATCTAAATATATGGTTATTGAGTTGGATAGAAGCTACTAATAGACTTGAAGAGATGAGTATTCACAAATGAAACTCCACAGGTATTAATGAGCTAACCGCGTGTGTCGAATATCAATGAGTAAATCAATGTTTAGAATATTATTTCTGTCGATGGTTTATGTGCAATAGTATCGCACATATGCAAAAGTTGTGTTCAATTTTGACGCAAACTAGAAGATCGTCAAAAACATAGGTATTTGTACGATTATGATTGATTACTTTTATTTGAATTCATTGTGAGAAGTGTAATATATATGTCTACGCGAATAGCATGATTAAGAAGGTTAAATTCTACGGGTATATAAGAGGGTGAGAAAAGAAGAACATGAAGACAGATAACAAGATAAAAGATAATCAAGCTTGATGTAACCGGTTTCAACTCTGTTTATATACAGTTCTTTTGCGTTTAGGAGACGTATTTACGTGCTTCATTAGCTTGAGCGATCAATCGTCGACGATCTTGTCCATTTTTAAGACCATGTCGAACGAAATTTTCGCAGAATTCTTGACGCTCCTAAAAGATATCAGGTTCTTTTCAGTCAAGAAGAAATACATATCGTTTGAAAGTCGTTACCTCATTTCCACTGACACATTCGAGAATTGATGCTTCATTTGATGGTGTCGAAGGATGTTCTGCACTATGACAATCACGTACGGTCCAACGCTTGTTATTGTGATCTTTGGTGCCACTATGATCACGAATATTGCCTAAAAGACCATCAGCAAATCCACCTAGAAATAAAATGCAACGTATCGTTAGAAAAAAAAGAGATGTTTTTGTCATAGTCAAACCAACCATAATGCATTGGCATATCGATAGTATAGAAATTGCCATGATTACACATTTTAACTCGAGTAGTGTTGGAGCATTGGAATTCCTTGATTTCACCTTGGTTAGGAATCAATGAATAAACTTTGCCGTTGATAAAACGAAATGAAAATTGAAGATTAGCAAAATCGTGTGCTAGTAGATAATCACACGATGGAGCAAGGTAGATGTAATGACCGTGAAAATCGATGCCGTCACCTGTTTCAGCAATGACTGCTTTGTATTCAGGTGTCAATGATGGATTACGTTTGAGGAGACGTTTACCAAGTTGAAACAATGCTTTAAGGTAATTCTGTGTTGTTTCAGTTCTGGCTTCTAAGCGATTGACTAAGACGGAACGTATTGTATCGAATGCTTGGTCACGATTACGAAGAAGACTACCAAGTGCAAGCAGTGTTTCACTACTACCAGCATATCGGCCAGGTTGACGACCAACAGGGAATAATAATTCAAAGCTGGTACTGTTGATATAAACCTAACGAAAAAGCAAGAAAGTAGACTTAAACACGAATCAAATGTGAAGTTACTTACCTTTGGAAGATGGCGAATAAAGTTTCGAACGCGTTCTCGAAGAGATTCTTGGCGTTTAGTGATGCGTAATGAAAGTTTTTGAATGTTACTAGCAAGTAATTTGGACGAATCACGTAATTTGTTCATTGATTTTGTTACTTCAGCATCAGCGGCAGCAGCAAAGGCAGCGGAATCAATATCTGCCACTAATGTTCGGAACCATTTATTTTCTTCGCCTTTACTTGCATCATCGATAGCTTTGAACACCGTTTTCCATTGCTCAGCGTTCTGTCGAGACATTCGTTCCATGCCAGCGACTATCTTGGTAACATATTCAGAAATACGTTTATCAATAGCCGATTGGTCAACTTTGGGTACGAAACGTTCGAGAAGTTTGTCAGCTCGGTCTAACAAGCGTTTAATTAAGGCTAAACGCCGTGTTTGAAAACGTTCAGCAAATTCTTTGAGACGATTATCATTGACAATTGCTGCAATGCGTTCGCGCCAGAATGCTTCACGTTCCACAGCACGTTCACGAAGGGTAGAAAATATACGATCAGATGCTTGACTGTACGTTGGATATTTGGCAAAGAATTCACGTAAACCCAAACGAGCTCTACAAGAAAAGAATCAAATAAGATTCAAGGAAATATCTCTTGGATTACTAACGTCAATCGAGGAAGAAAGTTCTTTTCTGGTTCGTTACTCCATGCATTAACAATTGTTTTGAATGCTTCGTAATCAGCACTGATAATTGATCGGAGACGTTGACGAAAATTACGAGCTAATTCGGCAGCATTTGTTTTATTCATGTCTTTCATCAAATGACTTTGTACAAAATTTCGTGTGAAATTCTAAATATATTTCAATACAATGAGTTTGAACATGCATAGAACACGAATATTGTTATCTTACTCGAAGTTGTTTTCCTCCATCGGGATTTCGATAACCTACACTATGGAAGAAGAATAGTGAACCAACTGGATATCCATAGTTTCGGTTAAGTTTCAAGTCAGTTGTTAAAGTTCTACCACCATCAAATGAATGACTGAGTTTGGTTATTAAACGATCTTCATTCCATTTATTAGTTGTCAATTGAACGAAGTTACTATTGGCATCATTGACTATGCGAAGAGAGTAACTTTCAGGTAATTTGCTATGTTCTCGGTGAGTCTTCCAGTGTTGAGTATTGTAGATTGTCACTGGAGCATCGCCAATTTGCAATTTGAATGATTTCTTAATTGTGTCTAGACCGTATAGACCATTGTGTGAACCCAATTTATCGAGAGCTTGCGAAAGTGATAAAAAGATATGTGAATCAAAAGCAAGTTCAACTAGTGGTTTTCGGGATGATGATAATGGTTCATCGATGTCATGTGATGGTCGATCTTGATTACGTAAAGATGGTAGATAATTACGAATACGAGGACGATCAATGGTTAATGTAACTATGTTTCGTTGTTGTGGTGCTGTTTGTTTGAGGGTGAGAACAGTGGAGTTATCCCATTCGAGTCTAGGCAAAATGAAAAGTTTTATATGACCGTTGGTGATTTACTTTCCTATTCATACCTGAGTTGAACATTCGAAGGTGAAAATCGAAGTTGATATTCTTGATTATTGACTTTAGTACCTTCAAGACGAAACACTTCTTGTTGTTTTTGTCGAACTGTGACAGTTGTTGATCGTCCTGGCTGTCGTTTAATGTTCCATGACGACACCAATGTGTATAAAGTAGCATCGAGTTCTTTCGTTTCTGGATTGCGTACGCCTTCGTAACCAATTCGTTGACCTGGATATCGATTTAAATCGATGTACGCTTTTGATTTACCAGCATTACGATCAATGTCCAAGGTTAATGTTGTTCGTTCTCCTTTACAATTAACTGATACATCGTTTTGATCTTGGCGGTCGACTTCACATTGAAGTGTTTTTTCTGCGGAGTTATCGTTGGCATTGAATGAATATTTCAAAACGCCATTGAAACGTGTTGATGATTGACGAGTTTCGTCGTATTTAACACTGATAGGATCTCGTCGAGGTAAATTAGCTTTCAATCGAAGATTCATAGCACCATTCTCGTGTCGAGGTTGGAATGACACATCGAGATCAACAGCATCTTCTTTAAGACGATTGATATCAAGTGTAGCGGTGTGTGGACCTGATTTAGGGTCATGTTTTAAGTCAAGTTTCATTGTACCGTCATATGTTATTTGACCAGCTGGATTAGCTAATTTGGGATCAGCTGGTAATTCTAGGCGTTGTCGAAGACGTTGTGCTAGTTGGTTACTTGCTTTGATGTTGAATGTTGTAGTTTGGCAGACACCGTAGAGAACGTTCGATGGATTGTTTGCACAACTGTTCGATTCACTTGACCATGTGATGACAGGTTGACCTGAAATAGTAGACGATTAGTGGATTCTTGACAATCGTTGCTTTTTTTTACCTTTGCGTTCAAGATTGACATCAATCTTACGTTGATATTGTCCTGTAAGTTTATTTAAAACTTGTTGTTTCATACGAATATTTGAATCCACTGCTTTTTGTCCATTTTTGTCCACTAATGTACTTTGTAAGTTAAGACTATTCCATTTACCATCTTCTTTGTCAACAGCACCTGTATAACTGAATGAACGACGGTTGTTGGCGCGGAATGATCGACCTTCGATGGTGGTTTTTGAATTGAAATCTTCATCACGTAGACGACCTGTGTGAGTGTGGTCGAATTTCAATTCAATATTTTCCGGCACACGAATGTCGAGCTTAGCTGTACCAGTACCATAGCTAATGTCGAAAGAACCTTTTCGTCCGGAACCGCTATTACCGGCACGAATGGTGATGTCACCTCGGTAACAGCGAGAATATTTGCCACTTGCTGAGCATCGTTTAGCATCAATGTCGGATGTGAACAATTGTTGTCCGTCAGTTCGTTCTGTATGACCAACAAGGACTTCTTCATCAAAGCCAATATCCATTTCATATTTGTAATCTTCATCGTCAGTTGTGTTGATAACACCGCGTACAGTAAGTTGGTGTTGTTTCATTAATGCGAAAAGAGCATTTTGAAATTCTGTATTGTAGTATTTCGAGCTTGTTGTAAGACTTATTTGACTAACAGCTTGTGGATTGTATTGAGCAGTTAATTGGGCACCCAAGGCTATGTCATCACCAACTTGTAGAGATTCAGTAGCATGGAGTGTGGTATTGAGTGAACCTTCCGAATTGAAATAGAAGCTGATTGGAGTAATTTTCTAGAATAGAGAGAATGATAATGGGGATCATGTTATGAAATCAAACTTACTGGTGATGCAAGTTTGAAACCAATATGAGCATCAATTGTTTGATCATCATCAGCATGAAACATGGGTAGATTGTAGAAGAATTGAAGTGCTGTTAAATTGGATATAGGTGTGCCGAATTCTAGATGAACGCCAAATTCTTGTGGCCATTTCATTTTACCAATACGATTTTTTCGATCGATTGTTAATTCACCGATGATACTTAATGGATTGCCTGACAATTGTGGACTTTCGAATGACAATGCAACTTTTCTTGTTTTGTTCGAGAAGATATAACCAATCGAATGTTTATGCAAAACAGCGGTATTACGTTTGAAGACACCGAGTGAGTGTAATGTTGACCAACGATGTACGTCAACTTTGGATAAACCGTATAAACTGTCTCCATTTGAACGTAAGTATTCGATTTCGTTATCAACATGAACAGCTGGCGGTTGGTCGCCTTTGAACCGTTCGATGTTAATGTGTCCGTAATGTGCAAATACTGGCTTGGCAACCAATCGTGAAGCAGCATGGGTTAAACGTCCATCAGTCGGGGATCGTTCAAGCATTAAATCATGACTGATGTATGGAAGATTTTTCAAGAATGGTAAAGCAATAACAGCGTGCGTCATCAATGAACCATCGCCAGTTTGATTACGATCGAGTACAAAATTGATGTTGATTTCCTTGATATCATTATCAGCACGAAAAGCAATGGAATTGAATGTTTCAATCAATCCTTCTTGTCTTGTGACATTACCATCAATATCGATCAATTGAAATCTTTCGTGTTTAGGTGCTTTTACTTTGATATCGTATACACCGATAAATGATTTGGCTGATTCTTTCTTTGGTTGACGATCAAAACGAACATTCAAATCAAGGGTCATATCGTTACGTTCTGGGACAAGATTTGTATCGATATCCCAATGGGTTTTCAACGAACGTAATCGTGTACAGATACTAAAGTTACCTATGGCAGTGGCTCGTTTTTGTTTGTTATCCCATTGAAATTCTGATCGACTGGCACCTGAATATATGTGGCCTTCAGTAACTCGATCAACTTGGCTGTGATAAGTGAATGATCCCGAACGTTGACGACGGCGAAGATCGTATTGAAATTTATAGTCAACTTTGTTGAGTAATTCGAAGTCTAGGTCTGATAAGATATCGAAGGCAAATGGGCGTGGAATATCTGGAAGTAGTTTGTCAGTGTCAGCGACAAGATGGATCTTATTGGCAATATCAAGTGTGGGCGGTTGCACATCAGGGCCTAAGCAGAGTAAAATAGATGTGGGTAGATCAATATGGGTTTTTGTTAAGAAAAACACTATGAAACAAACCTTTTTTCGATGCTTCTGCACTTCGTCGATGACGATGATCGAGAAGAACACCGAATACATTGGATTTAGTTTTGACTTGAACTTTGATGTTTGCTTCGGGAGAAATCAATCGTCTTCCTTGGCTTGATGTTCGAACAGAACGTCGATGATAGTCCAATTCGATTCGTTCATCAACTGGTGGATTTCGTGTTACGATAAGAAAATCTAAACTGCTACGAAGCGATGCATTTGCCAAATCAGTGGCTTGATCAAAAGTTGCTTTGAAGTCATAAAATTTGACCGGTTGAGGACGTGCTGGTGTTTGTAATGACAAATGGGAAATAATATTGTAACTATTTTCCGTGGCTCCGAGGTTATTTCGACGTTCGTAGAGAAAGTCATAACCATTGGAGGAAGCACCTCGACTTAATTTCATTGCACGATTCAATTCAATTCGTGTGCGAGCGCTATTTTGTTCTAAATGAGCTTTACCACTATAAGTGACATCGCCAAGATTGAAGTTGCCATCAATATGGAGAAGTTTCGATTCCGGTCGGTATAAATCACCACGGACTAAATAGAACAAAATATCAGATCATTTCATTTGATTTCGAAATTGTGGAAATTTACAGTGAATCTTGAATGATTTAGCTCGATCAGGTGTTGTTGCACTGATATCAGCAGTAAGACCTTGTCCACGATTGGGTAAGATATCTGTTGTTAACAACAAAACTTCTTTTCGAGTAGCACTGTCAACAAGTCGACTTTCCAATTTAAACTCATTGTCATTGACAACCAATGTTCCCGATGTTGTCATTACTTCTTTGTTATCACTAGAATAAACACTGCCAGTGAATCGATTACCATTTTGTGTGCCTTTAACATTGAAAGATTTCATTCCAGTTAGAACTTTAATATCAAAATTGTTGCCATTTTTCGTTGCAGAGATGCCCAAGCCTAAACGCACGAAATTGTCAATGTGAAAATCGACCAGTTTAGCGAAGCACATACCAGGATAAGTTCCAGTTACGCCGATTTTTTCAACACCAACTTCATATTGAGGAGCATCTTGAGCATTGTAACGCCAGCCAATACGCCATTTCTTGATCGATGGATCTTTGGTAATGGTAACCTATTGATGAAAAAATAATAATACCAATGAATCTCTTCTTTCTCACATTCACATTTTCTAACTTACTGTCATTGGATACGATGGTCGACTGCCAAGTTGAATTGAACGAAAAGGATTAAGTTCTAAGCATGCGCGAATACCTAATCCACGATAGACAAGGCCTGGTGTGCATGATGGATCGACAGAAGTTGTTTTAGGATTTGGAATTACTGTAAGACCTTTTGACGTACGTATTGCGTATTGAAATCTAAGAAAAGTCGATATTTATAGATGGGAAACATTTACTAAAGCACGAAAGTCATTACTCAGTTGCTAAAGCTGTTGTTTGAGCATTGAGAAGGTTGAATTCTCGTGTGCGTCCTTGATTATTAGCTTCTGCTTTATATTCAAATGGCACATTTGATATAGCACCAATTTCAATCGTTTCACCGATGCTAACAATTGGTGATGCAACTTCACGTTGAAGTGTCAGCGAAAAGCTCAATCTAAAATTTCAAATAAGCGAACGAATGAAATAGACTTTTCCTCAAAATCATACGCTGATCGACTGGTGATTGAGAACAAGCCAAGTCCTGCAGCATCGCGAGTATTTTTCAAATCGGTTGATAAATCAGCAAGTAGAGCAACTTGAGCTGATCGGTACAATGTCAAACCATTAGCAGCTGCTGATGCAGCACCAATTTCTAATGGAATACGAAAGATGGGATTTTTCTCTCTTAATTCGTTCAATCGTCCCAAGATTTGATTTCGAACGAATGTGCGAACATTTGAACGAAGCAGATCTTGAACTTTATCAGTGACGTCTCGTGCACGAATGTCAGCTCCGAATAATTTCAAATATAGGTGAACTGACGGATCAGGATCTTCTTTATCATCATATTCCTGCGAAAGTACAAGAAAAGATAAATTGATGTCGATCGATGATGACAAATTGACTTACATCTTGCATTCGTTGAACATTAGGCGGTAATGCCTTCTTAGTGCGTTCTTTTTCTTCATCAGTAACGGTTTTACCTTTGGTTAATGGATCCAAACGCAAGAAATAATCAGCAAAATTCCAATCAAGATTTTCACTAATCAATGCGACATCGATCCATGGTAGACGAAGAGTTTCACGACGAATACCATCGAATGCTAATTTCAAACCAATGAACGATGGAACAACACGGTCATTTTCGAAGACAATGCAAAGATGAATCACGGCTTCGTAGTTTCGACGAAGCGGCATTTCAAGTTGAATTTGTCGCGAAGAGATGGTTGCTTGTTCGCTGAATTGTTTCTTATTGGTATGATGTGCACGAAGACGAGCAGCAAGACCACGTAATGGACAAAGACGATCAAGAGACGAATATTTCAATGCTGACCAAATGAAACCATTAACCTAATTCAAACAAACTGCAACGGTGAGAAAAATTTTGCAAGATTTGGAATGAAATTACTTGATTGAGTGGTTCATTAAGAACATCGCCAAGAGCCTTTTCCAAAGCATCACCTAATGATGAATCAGCTTCTTCGGGATTATAGATAAACGGTGTAAACAAAGCTTCGAATGCCCATACTCGTGCGGCATTTTTATTGGCTTTGTTTTGCAGCTTTTTCAATAAAATATTTTGAAGATCTTGTCGAATTCGCAATTCACTGCTATCTTCAATATTATGATCACAGATATGACGAATAGCATTCAATGCATGATATTGAACTTCTAAGTCAGCTTGATCATCAGCAGCAAGTCGTCGGACGTTCTCATCATATAAGCCTAATTGAGCATAAGTTGATAAAACAGCGGTAGTTACATTGCTGTTTTCTTTTGTTGGATTAGTGAGAAATCTTGAAATAGATCGTTGGAAATCTTTGATTTTCTAAACGAAAATAAAAAGAGCGTAGTCGTTGAAAAATACTCAGTGAAATGTTAACAATCAACAGACCACGTCAGCATCTTTGTTGTTGTCTTCTCGTGATTTGTATGTTTTGAGAATATTTGCAGCAAGACCAACGAATTCCGGTACTTGCTGAGGTGTTAATCGACGTGCCGCTTGAACAACTTGATCAACGAGTTCAGTTGATGGTTTATCCAAATAAAAAACAGAGAGTGGGTTGGCAAATTTCAATGTTTGAGTATCAAGATTAAGCAGTGAAGCACTTGGATCATGAGCATAGATTGTATTGAGAAATGTGGGCACTAAATGTCTGTCAAACGAACCATAATAAAAGTTTTGTTTGGAAAAGGTGATGTTCAATACTTAAGGCCTGTATTGGCTCGGAATGCTTCGATGTTTTGTCGATCCATTCGCCGTAATTCGTTGGCGATTTGTACGAAACGTGCAGAAGCAAATTGATTCCAATCTTGTGTTTTGAGAAGGTCTTGAATTTTTGATACTAATGATGAAACAGCTTCGTTGGATTTATCGAACGTTGCGGTGGGAACAAATTGTAATGTTTGTCGAAGAGGATTTCGAAGTTGACCTGCGAACAGGAAATACGATCAAAGTGAGGAAACCTTTCGATGCTACTTACAGCCATCGACTTGGGCAGCGGCGTTGCTTTGTAAAGTTAAATCTTGTGTAATTGAGACAAGTTTAGTTGAAATTTCTTCGTCGTCATCTTTATTATTGAAATCGATCTCCTCTTGTTCTTCGGAGCTGTTATCATCACTACGGATAGCTCCGTCATCATCATCACCTTGAACCGCAGGCTTCTTGCCTGGTTTTTTGCCTTCTTCATCATCGATTTCGATTGTTTTACATCGGACGCGCTGGATTTTCTTGTCGCGAATATCGGTACGACAAACATAGCGTGTGTTAGCAGCAAAAGCTTCTTCCATCTACATCGAGATCAGCTTCATTATAGAAAAGACGTATTTCTCTTGCTACCAAACTTACCAAAGGACCTAGAAGCGATGTTAAAACAGGACTTGAACTTAAATGTAATTTGTCCTTGGAACAAGTTGATAAATCTTTATTCTTATCGATTTGTGTCACTGGACCTTTCTGCGAATATTTGTAGCGAGTTGTACAAACGCCAAGTACATCTTCTTCTCGTACCTTGAATTGAATCAATCATTCAATCGATCAATCGCCGTCTATATTCGAACTTACAAGATTTTCGTGATCATTAGGTACAGGAGAGTAAACTTGAAGTGTACTGAGAACACCTTTGATAAAGTTGACATGATCAACTTTGGCTGATGAATCAGCTTCGACAGCGACAACAAAACCATCAACCCATCGAAAACGTGCACAAACACTTTCAAGTTCTCGTTGAGCACTGGCAGTCGATGTTACAGGTGTTTCATCTTCATCTTTCGTTTCGGTAATTTTGATATTTCGAAGCTAAACAAAATTCTCTTGTGCTAGCGCATGCAAAGTAACCAAACTCACTTGAACAGCATAGTTGCAATCACCCAAACTTCGGATGTGCACATCAGCTGTGATCTCATTCTTTAAATCGAACTGAGCATTGGCAACAGAAAGTTTGACTTCTGTCTTATATTTGTAAACTAATGAACCTTGGCCGGGAGCAATGAGTTGAGCTGAATTAACCGAAGATGAGAGATTTCTCAGAATCTGAATGCATGCACTTACCCGATGAACAGATTGGATCGGTTCTACTTGGTGAAGAAAACGGTGCAGCTGCATTTCGGCAAACTATACACACATATTGCAATGAAACCTATTCAAGCGAAGAACAAACATTGTTGCTTACTCAGCACAAAGACTAGTGTATAGATGAAATTCGACGATGCCATCATCGTTGAATCGATATAGCAAATTACTATCCTAGCGGATATCGATATGTGCCAGTCGTTTTCTACAATGAGTACGTAGAAGACACAGTTGCTATCTAAAGCTGAAGTTTATATACGGTCGCTTGTTTACTTGTCTCTCGTAATAAATTAAACTAATAACTAACTGATAAGACTTGTACCAGTCTAGCTTACCAATAAGAAAGAGTTTGCGAAGAAATGCAAATCAAAGATAAGTACGTTTTCGCTTCTCTGATGATTCCCTCGATGTCTTCATGACAGGCTATATATTATCTACTTTCAACAGCCGTCGTTAATGTTCTTATGTTTTTTATGTATAATTAAAAGCTTAAGGAAATCGATCTATATATGTATGATACCATAGTTCGTACGAGAACGCACTTTGACCTCAAATACAAATAACCGGCACTAAAGTTAAAGACTATTGACTATATTTAGCACATCAGTTATCTTAATGATGCCAGAATATTCTGCTTGGTGATGATATACATCAAACAAAGTTATCTACATTCGTTTATCCTTTCGCATAAAATTATGTACAGTTTCTGACATGAATGATAATCATGTTGTTATTTCAAGAAGAGATCTATGCCTTTGAAGATGCACATAAATAGTTTAATGGGGAAAACCTGACTGAAATATCTTATGAATATGCTCGATAAGCCCTGGACTCTGATATATTAGAGGTCGTCTTTCGATGTAATGACTTTCCCATAATATCCACCAATCATTTTCTTATCGTCTCGCAAATATCACACAAAATAATTCTCTATCATCATTGGATGGGTATTTCCCAGGATATCACATACACTAGACATTTCAGAAGATGAATAATGAACGTCATATTTTCTATTTCGTCGCTATTTTTCATATGAATATTTCTCGAATATTCTTCATCGAAAGGCTATTTCAGGAAAAACATGTCAGAATCCAATCTGATATAGAAACAACCTTTGTACTGCATATCAATCAACAACCTATCATTAGTTTTCATCAAAGCAGAACAGTTCTCGTCGTTGATATCAAATATGGTCATATATAACACCGACAAATAGATAGAGATCATATGGAGAGTAAGAATGTTGCAGATAGTTTGTTGAAAACATCATCCACACCCCGTCGGGTTGATTTATATCAAAGAAAGAGAAAGAAAGCATCGTATTTTCGAACAATATGACCTTAGTTTATTGTGTAAAAGTGCAAACACTGGACAGACAATTAGTTTCTCAAAGTGGAATGATCAATACTGGAACACAAACTTGTTTTTCTTGAGAAGAATATAAAAGAAAGAGGAATGTCGAAGGTGTGTGAAAACGATACAAGAATACAGATAAACGTGAAAAGAAACAGACAAAGATACAACATAGAAAATATACAAATATTTCATTTTATGAATTATCATTGTTGACAAGAATATATTCATGACCATTGCTTTTTGCTGAGTGTTCATTCGCGTGAAGATATCTGTCAGCAAGCCGTACAGTTGATTGTAATTCATTTTCCTCCTCATCAGAATCCGAATCGTTGCTATTTCTATACGATAGAAACAAGAATATTTCATGTAAAACACGAATACAAGTCTCTATTATGACTACACCCAAAAATACGTACGATGTTAACCGTGGTTCTTCTGCTTCTGTATTATGCGGAATGCCATTCTCTCCATTAACGTATGCTGAAGTTTGTCGTGCACGATATCGTGCCGATGGATTATCATACTGCAATGAAATAGTCAAATAAATGAAACTTCTAAATCGTTCAATTTTACCAGATGTGAGTAATCATCTTTATCTCGTGCTTTTATTTGCACAAAATTTGTATTCTGATAGATCTTATATCGAATCATTTCGTCAAATGCAATATTTGATACATCACGAATCAGATCAGCGGCACATTCGCGTATGCTAAAATAGAGAAGAATAAAGTCTGAACAAGATTATATTCATGTCCTACGTCGATCCACAATATTTTTCTATAGTTGTTTCAACTAATTCAGAAAACTGATTTTCAAATGGATGCAACAGTTGCGCTGAGTCAGGTTGTTGCTTGAAAAGAAATAGTATACGTTTGCGAATATGACACAAAATTGATTGATTAAAAATATCGTTGATATGCAAACGCATGAATCTAAAACAAACAAGATTCGAGTGTATTCAATATTCATTGAAGAATAACATACGGAATTAATTGAACCATAATTGATTTGACTTGTAAATCGATTGTTTGTATTTCATTGTTACTTATATTCTAAATAAATGAGAGTAGATTCCGTATTTTGGAGATCTTAATTGGTCGATCATACTTGATTGGTCAATGTATAATGAGTTTCGGGTTGAATATTAAAAACCGAAGTCGAAAATTCACTCGATCGTCTTTCATCGTCAGTATCATCATCGAATGGTAATTCTTGTAACTGTTGATAATCATCGACAGATGATAATGTCGATTGTTGATCTGATTTTTGTTTGTAATCGTTTAGTTGACTTTCAGTGGGTATTGGTCGACGATGAATAATGAAGGATTTCGAAGGATCTTCTTTTAAAGAAGGATTAAATTGATTCGGAAGATCGTAAACATCAGATTTCGGTTGCATAGATGGACGTGGTGATGAATCCTCGGTTGAGAATGTACCTAATACAAGAGACATATGAAACGAATAAAACGTTGCCCAATATTTTACCATTTCTTTGTTTTTCTATTGGTGATGCATCCGTTTCATTGTTATCAATACGGATAGCTGTTTGTTGACTTGTGTTGTGACTCTGAAATGATGTTGTACTTGGATTGTCCAATAAACGATTTGTCATGAGAAGAAGACTTTGTTGTTTTGATTGTTGTTCTACACTAGGTCGTGGTCGCGGACGTATCGTTTGATTGAATGCAAAGATCGAATCTTTGGAATCTTCTCGTGCATAGCCGCGTGGAATTTGATGCAGATATTGTTGATCAAACGAAACCGATGATGTCAAACGGTTATTTTCCGATTGAAGGGCATTGATTTCAGATTGCAAAACGGCTATTTCACGATAGGCTGTGTTTAGATTGACGATTAGACCTTGTGTTAAGACTTGTTGTTGCAATTGACTGAATACTGGATCGGCTGGCGGAGTCACAGGTGATTCTGTCGTTGCTGTTAAGCGTTGTTCGATATGACGATTGAACGACTTTTGTTCTTGGATGAATGTTGACAAGCAAGCAGAGATTTCACGCATTTGTTCATTTAATTCATTCGGACTATGTACGAGTTTCGGATGAAAACTATCCGATGCACAAAGGTTCTAAAATGATATGCAGTTAAGTATCAGCCATCTTGTTGATAGTCTACTTACGCTTTGTTTTATGGGTGATGACGGATTTATTTCAATGCAATTCTCTTTGTCTACGGCAACATCGGAAGGACAGAAGCTCGATTCATCATCGTCGCTGGAAACTTCTACGTAAGTACAATGACGTGTAGGACGAAGATTTTTCGAATCATTCAGTTTTTCTTCATATGCTCTCAGTTCAATCGATGGCGTGTTCATACTTTGATGTAACGAAGTTATTTGATTTTTTAACGTATGTAAACGTTGACGAGATTCGACTAGACGTTCAATTTCACGGTGTTGGGCTGCGATTTTCATATCCGCTGGAAAACTCTCCACTGGTGAAGAACGTTTCGCGATTGCTGGTTCAGTTTGCGTCTGTTGTGATGATCTTGCATTATACGTAAATTGATTGTTGCAACGTTCAAAACCATGACTTTTCGAAAGCGGAGTTGAATGTGACGATGATGCTGACGATGAATATTCATCGGGTTGAATCTTCTTGACCATGTGTTGAAGTTGACCTAAAGCTGATTTCGCTTGTTCAAGTTCCCTTGAAAGAAAAACATTCTGATATGACTCTCTGATCATACTAAATGCTTCTTACAATCGTTTGGCCGCTAGTTCACTAGATAGTTTATCAAGTTGTCCAGGAGTACGGTCATTTGCAGTTATTTCATCGATTACTTGTGGAGATTCTTCATCTGGCTGAGAATTGATATCTGTTTGGTAGTATGTAACGATTTGTTCCAATTCATCTAATCGTTCGTGAACATGTTTGAGATTTTTTAGACGAGTTTCTGCCGAAATTCTTGGTTGCTTTGACGAACTAAATAATCAAACAATGAGCATTGCACGTAGAAAAAGAATGATTGCTCAATCTAGATACTTTTTCAATAGTTGAAGTTCTCGTTGATGCTTTTGTTCATAACGACTTCGAAGTAATTTCAAACTAAATGTGATCAATAGCTCCCTTGTAAGAAAGAAAACAACATGGTTAACTAATTACCGATCGCGTAGATTATGAATATCAGATAAAAGGTTATCTTCATTCATGCTAGAACTTGTTTGGTCTCTTGATTGCTGTTGTTGTTCCGTTAGACGCTGTTCGGAACGTCGTTTCAATGCCAACAGTGCTCGCTGTTGACCTTGCAAAGCACGAATCTATAAGACGATGAAAATCTCGTAGACATTAATACGGCTAAATGTACGTTTTACTTGTTCTTTTTGTAATGTTAAATTTCTTTCCATTTCTTTTTCACTTTCTGCATCGGTGGCATCTTCATCAGACTTAACGAGAAGAAAGAATTCGAACATCCGATAGAAGATTGTTCTTACGGTTGCTTGTTGATCTTTCCAATTCAATGTATCACTTTTCAAACTTCCAACAAGCGAATCATAATTGGAATAGTCATTTCGACTATTTTGTTCATTGTCAGACAAATTTATTGTGGGTAGAACTGTTGGTGGCGGTTGAGGAACAAAACCTATTTTACTTTCGATACGTGGACGAAGTGGCGATCGGATATTGCCACGAAGTGAGAGATCATCCTTAAATAGGTGAATACACGTGAGAAACTCCAAATTATTTGCAAGCATCTTTACATCATCATCTTCATCATCATCTTCTTCTTCATTTTTATGACTCAGTTGAGCTTGATGATTAGCTGCTGATTGTCGACTGAGCACAGCTGAACGTTCCTCCGCTGTTAACTAGAAATAGCGACAGAAGATGAGTTTTGTATGGGTCATTCGTTTTACTGTTATTAAGTTGAGTAGGTTAACGTAACTAGCTTGTTGTTCTTCTAGATTGTGAATGATTGAGCGTAGTTTATCATGTTGTTGAGTACATCCTGGCTGGAAAAGATATCAAATGTATTTTTTCTTTGCAGAGTCTGTTTGATCGTATATTTACCACAATATCTTTATATTTTTCCATGGATTCGAGCATTGTCTGTGCTTGATAGATCGATTTTTGTATTTCTCGTATCCGAGCAATGAGTTTAGATGTTGAAAGGATCTAAAATTTGAAGACATAGTGGTCGATTTCGTTAGTCTCAGTTGAAAACTATCTACTTCAGATGATTGTTCATGATCACTATTGACAATTGTATCATTATCCAATGTTTCGTTTGACTCATTTTTATTACTCGTGCAAATAGTTGGTCGAGGAATACCTTCAGCTAAGAGATCATTCTCGTCATCATCAGATTCATTATCATCACTGATCGGTATTCCGTTATTTTGATAGACCGGATCGAAAAATGACACCTAAAAAGTTCCGTATGAATAATGTAAAACAGATAACATATCATTTACTTGATCATTTCTGGTCCGTAAGTTCCGTATTTTACGTTTCGGTGGCATTTTATTATCTAGAAGAAAAAATAAATAGATCTTTATCTGATTTCTAAACATGATGACTATCCATTGCACTGAAGTATATAATCTACTATTTATCTTTATTCTTCGTTCGAACACGGCGAGCTTCGTTAATTAATCTTTCAATTTCGTGCCGATTTGTTTCAACTCGAGTATTTTCATTCTGATTATCAGAAACGTTTATTGGTCGATTCGTTGCATCAGGACGATATTCCAAAGCTAATAAATACAATTCAGAAGACTCCGAACGCGATGAACTTGGTTTAATCACATGAACAGCACCAAAAAGAGATTCAAGTAGTGAACGAAGATCTTGAAATGTTTCATGACCTTGAAATAATTTGCATAGAAAATAACCATTTGGTTTCAATAATCGACGAGCAAAATCAAACGCTTGATGTTGCAAAGCTGCAATTGCTGTTAAAGACGAAATTAATCTTTGTTTCGAATAGATAAATACGAACCTGACTGATCAATTGCTTTACATCCAGTTACATTTGGACACATATCAGATAGAACACCGTCAACTTGCTCAGTTTTCAATCGATTCAATAGTGCCTGTAACCGTTTATTACAATCACTAGTTGTATCTGCTGTTAAATTCCAATCATCAATGATATGTACACCGGGAATTTCAAAAATGGGACTACGATCCAGTGCAATCACTGTTCCGCATTTCAAATCTGGATTAGTTCGATGTACAAATTCATTCGTCGACGTGATTTTCTTTTGTTTTTCAACACGAGCATTGACTTGTTTTACCAGTACTTGTGACCATGCACCAGGCGCTGCACCCATATCAATCACCGTATGACCAGGTTGTAAGAATTGATGCATGTCATTCATTTCAATTAATTTGAATGCACTTCGTGCTCGATAATTTTCTTTAACTGATCGACGAACATATGGATCGGACACGTGTTTGATCATCCATGCTTTCGTGTGTTGGCATGCGCTGGTAGAAAACAATTGTTTGAAAAACATGAATGTCTAGACGTTAACAAGTACTTCCGTATTATTATTATTATTATTATTACTGTAAAGGTTTCTTTCCGTATAATACCATCGAAGGGTTAAAAGTTGAAACGATCACTGCCATCGGTCAATATTTTTCACTTCATGTTTTCAAGGTAACGACCTCGAAGGAGTTTATTTTGGAATTCATCGATCTCATTAGCCGCGACAACGTTCAACTTAGTTTTTTTCGTTCTTTTTAATTATTTATAAATTTTTGTTATTTTAGTTTAATGATAAACAAAAATATTCTGCCAAACATGGCGCGACATCTACTGATAAATTAGATTGATTTATTCACGATACAAGTAAAACGACTATTCAACGTAAGTAACTAACATTGTATTAAAGAAATGCTAGGCGAAAACATCCTATAGGTGCGCAGTTTGCTGCTGAGCATTTTGATCTTGAATCATTTTTCTGACATTCTCCAAAACGACTTTACTTTTGCCTGTAGGCTTCTGACGTCGACACGTATTTTTCTGTTGAAGTGTTTCTTCTTTACTTATATCATAACTATCGGCACACGATCGATGTTTGGAGTGTTTGATTTGTTCAGTGGAATCACTGTCTGTCGAAATCGACACTTCCAATGATGAACGATCAGCTGGTTTATCATCGACAATCGTTGGTAGTGGCGATGGTGTTCTCATTTGTTTGGACTTGACGAATAATTTCGAAAGAGACGTTCGTGAACGAACGGATGGGTTTTTAACTGTCGCTTCTTTTTCCTTTGATTGATCATCAGCATTCTTCTTTAATGTGGCTTTCGACTTTCTATGAAATGAACAAATTTTATACAATTCAAAAGTGGATGTGGGTCGACATACGTTTTGATTTTATCTTCCTGTTGAATAATTTTGGTCTGAGAAGTCACACGAATGCTTTCGACATTTCGAATGAAGATTTCTTTCACTTCTGTGTCACGTTGTTTTCCATGAACTGGAAATGATCTGGATTTGCGCCGTGAAAAACAACATAATCGAGGCATGAGAAAAATAGCAAAGTGTTCACATCATTGCTTCACTTGTTTTTGAATAACAATGATGTAATGTCGTTAGCGAAAGAATGTTTTTTAAAGCTTACGGACAAAACAAATGACATACGAAGAAAAGAATTTTATTGACATAAGAGAGTCATCTTCAAAAAGAACATTTGATAAATGGGAAATTGTTCTTTTCAACCTTCGACGCAAAATTAAGATTAAACGTTGTTTTATCGGATGAATCAGCGATAGTTACAACACTATTGAAATCCATTGGTCGTCATAAATCAGAAGCGAATGCATGTATTGTAAGTGCTATTTCGCCAATAACAGGTGGATCAGTTCGAATAACTGAACATCGACTATTCCATTTAACAATTTCCGTGTTTAACCATAAGCAATGCAATCAACTGATTTCGAAAGCACAGTGTCAGGACTTCTCTGAGTAGAATAGGATGGAAGAGAGAATTTTTGTCTCACTTTTCTATGACTTTTCATCAAGTTAAATAGCATTTTAATAGCAAATTCATTGTATATCGTCAATTTGTTTTACCCTCATCCTCATCGTAGCGACCTCCGTGATTTCTCGATTTCTTTTCTGTAACACTACATGTTTTGCGGGTCTTTTATCCGAAAGATTTACAAACAGGGAAGGATATTATATTACATAAACAGATCAACTTAGAAAGACAAAGTTCCACCCACCAATGATAATTCACTAACTCGCGAAATCGTTCACCGACCGACGACGATATCGATTCAAGCAGAGATAATACACACATACTTAGAGCGTAACCAGCATGAAAATCTATATTTTGGGAAAGTTATTACTAATGGAAAAATCATATGCTCAGTCTACCTTTGATCGAACAATTATCTGTTGAATTCCGATGATCAACATGTCATCAGTTTGTCAAAAATCGTGGTTGAAATATGCTTACAAGAGAAGAATTCACTTCCTATAGAAAAACAATTGGAATTATTATTATCCTAATGAAGTTTTTGAAGAGTTTTATTGAAAGAAGAATTGGCGAATTAAGTAAGGATAGTTCTTTGTTCAGTAGTATTCTAAAATGTATTTCATTGGTATTTGTTCAGGCGGTCTAATTGTTCAATCAAAACAAAGCAATATTGATACGTCTCTTTCTTATTCATTATGCGGCATTGTGTCGCGCTCTACTTACATGCTCATAAGTAATATCGTAACTTTTTTAAAATTTTCCTCTGATAAAGCTTTCAAATAAAAACAATCGTTTTTGTAATTGGTCAATTAGACGAATAATAATTTGTATAATATTCACACAGCCAGCTCTATCAATTGTCTACGTTAGTACCTACATTGGCATATTTCGAATTAGCGCAATGAAATAATTTAGAACTTGGCATATCACATTCTGTTTTTTATACAGTACCATCTCTTCTTCTGCAAAAATACTTTGATGTTAAAACCCAGGTAGCAAATATATGCTTTTACAAAAGCACGATCATGAAGATGATGAGAACAATATTAAACATCTTCATGTTTCGATCACATACGAAATGGGTCTATTCGTAATAGTTCTACTTCATATCTCTTGTTGCATGTCATAGGCAAGTATCCACGTTCTACTAATCTTGTCGGTTATACTTTCTCAAGTTCGATCTATTGTAGAACGGGAAAAGGTACATTTCGTTTCATAAAATATGACTCAAATGTTTCGATATATCAATAAACTTCGTGATTCATGCAACTGAGGATTATAAATAGACAAAAGAAAATACTCGATGTAATTTATTTATTTATTTCAAAAGAGAAAGGGCAACAAAAAACTAATTGATCACAACACAAGTATACCTTTCATAAAAAAAATAATCAGGAAGTCTCTCAAAGAATTCCAACAACAACAACTATAGTAGGACAGAAAGACCATCGTCTTGCGTCTTTTGTGCACCATTGCAGCAAAAAGAGAAAGATCTGATGTACTTACTCACTTGAATGCTAAGATAAAAAGCTTGGTCTTAGCTTTAATTCTGTCGATGTCGGCGATATTTTCTCCGGTTCTAAGAACACAAACGCAACAGAATATTTTGTAAATCATTACTGATGTTTCTCTGCACACCTGATGTTAATGGAATATATGCTGGCATCACACTCGGAAGACTAGATTCTGGTAGGTCAATTTTTCTAAAAGATCTTACATGACGTACAGTTTGAGAAAGAAAAAAAGAAACTCGCACTTTGAAGAAGATATTCTTAGATTTACAAGCTTATTTTCACTTCTCTTTCGTCGATGTGTTAAATGGCATTGTTTACCACGTGAGCATTGGCCAGTTGATTCAAATTGCGGACACAAGAGAACATGTTGTTTCGGACACTAGATGTTTGATCAGTTTTAGTAAGTATGAAAAGAACAAAGAAAGTTTCATGCTTTTCTCACAGACCTCAATTCCTTTGGCACAAAATCCTTGAACGAAATCATCACAGATTTGAGCATCAGCTCCTACAAATGAATGTGCATAAGGGCAATTGTCCTGTCCACAAGCTCCTTTCATGAAATAGGAACATGTTGGAACTTTTCCCGGAGTTAATTCATGAGAATACGGGCAAGAAGAATTCTTACAACGTCCATTTAAAAATCTAGCATAACGACAAAGAAATCATCCATCAATTGAATGAAACACTTCATAAGATTGAAACAACATACTGTGTACAAACAGCAATTCGCGTACGATCGTGAAGAAATGGACATTTATCACCACGATGGCATTTACCAAAGCGATTAAAATAAATGCAATTTTTCTTCTTTCGTAGAGAGGTGGACTTTTTTGTTCCATTTCGTAATCGATAACATCCGTTACTTATGTTAATGCTTCGTTGAAGGAGTACGCTAAATATTTATTACAGTAGAATAATTTCTACACGAATGAACAATACTTTGCTTTTGATCGAATTTGATCTTCGGTTTTTTTCACTGGAATCGATGATAATGCTGTTTTGCTAGCGTCAGGATCGGATACTGGAAAATTGAGAGTAAGAAAGAACATTCAAAGAATAGGAAACTTACCTAAGCGTTGAAGACATTTTCCATTTGGATGGGTTTGAAATTTAATACCACGAATACGTACAAGACATTTGGAGAGCGATGCGTGAGGCTTGCGTTTTGCTACTCGTCCGCTACTCGTTGGCTTTCGACGATCGAGTTTGAAACTAGAGGATAATTTTCATTAGCAAAACTAAGGATACTTAAGAATAAGTCTGAACCTGTTTCGATTAGTTTTCCTCAAACTTGTTCGCATCCATTTATACTTGTTTCCAATATTCTTCGCTAGTGCTGTCGATGGTAATGATTTCTCTGTGTTTTTTATTCGTAGAAGTGAAGTTTTCGATGAATTAAGTACCGGTTGCGTTGTTTTAGTTCCATTCCGTATAAGTTTGAATCGAGATGTTGGTATTGCTGCTGCTACTGCTGTTGTTGTTGTTGTTTTTGACACTTTGACAAGTGTTGTTGTTGAATGAACGAGTTTAAATCGGGTTCGATGAGAGTAAGGTTTGCGATATGAAGAAAATTCCATCTAGAATGACTGAGAAGAAAAAACAAAGAATTTAATTTGAATAGAACATTTAGTTGAACTACATAAACGAAGACACGAGAACGAAGAAACATATTGGTGAATTTTATATTTATATATATAGAGAGAGAAATCATTCGAAATTAAGAATTACGAATGCCAAGAGCTTGCTCTAATTCTACACGTTTTTGTTGAACTTTATTGTAGAAATATCGACTAACAGCTTCGTAAGACCATTGTTCCGTATAATAATCAGCTCTTCGTTCTTCTTCAGCATTTCCCGTTGTAGAATCAGTGATCACCTTCAAATCACGAGATTGTGATGCTAACCATTTACATATAAAACCTTGAGGATCATCAGCAAATGAAAGATAAAACTCTCGGCTTTGCTTTAATTGATTGATACTATCAATATATTGGAGAATCTAGAAGAACTTTATAAGAAGAATCTCTCGTCTGTCATTGTTTTTACTTTGCCATCTAATTCTTCTAGTTCGTGCGTGTTTTGCGGGGTGAGAAATGACCGCATCGAATCTCGAACAGGATCATCAACCTCAACATCGATATCGTAACATGCGTGCTTCTTCGGATCGGTACCCAAACTGAAATTTTGAAATCAATGATGATCTTTGCCTATTAAAAATATGTCTTACCAAAGCGTATGGTTGATGATAATAGGTTCTGACGGAAGTATGAGTTTATTTAGTTTACTTGGCAAATCGGAAAAACGAAGGCGTGAACAATCGAATATCTAACAAGATAAGTATTCAGTCAAAGTAATTGAATTCTGATGGAGGTAAAGAATACGAACCGATTGCAGATGGTGATCACAATTGATAAATTCTCGTTCTTCCGAATCCTGTAGTTTATGTGTTTTGATGTATTGCCAAATTGCATGGATTATCGTTTGACGCGTACCATTTGTGATTGAGAGTAAGCGAGCTAAGCGAGCATCAAGACGGAACTGTGGTGGCTATAAACGACATAGAAGTTCACGTTTAAAGTACTTGTTGATTTTTAGCAATTCTTACTGAATGGTCAAGAACCATTAAAATGGTGCATTTGACGTTTTGATCGCCTGGTCGACGAACTTGGAATCCATCTGTTTCAGCGGTCGCATTTGTACGATGCCACTGAAAATTTCAAAAAAGCTTTTATTAAATTTCTTTTCTATAAATTGAGTACCACATACTTCAACAAGGTGATTGTCAGGTCCGTATAAATCTTTATCTAATTCAATGACTAGACTGCGAAAAAATGACGAAAATTTACGTTTTGCTTTTCCTTGATCGTATTTATTTGTATTTGGCTAGAAAATACGTCAACTTTTACTTAGTTATGATTAGGAGAAGTAGCTTACATCATCAAGTAGACGACCTTCGACACGCATTTCCCAATATTGAACTTGTTCATCATCCATTCCTGTTGCATCGGAATCAAAACGAACAGGATATTGATGGCTGATAAAGATACGTAGTTTCTTTTTGATCTAAATCGAAATTATTCGCTTGCAAAAATTAAAGAAGCGTTGTCAATTTGAACTACTTTTTGTGGTCGTTTGAGTGTTTCCTGTAAATCGAGGCGCTTTCGCATGAGAACAGAATCTAATTTTTGTTCCAATCGTAATAATTCAATGTATGCTTGCGATTCCGGCACGAGTGAACGTATCTGTTTGTGAATTATTTTTTCTGTCAAACGTTTACGTTTTTTCCTAAGAAAAATATTTGAAAAGATATCAATGAACGAATTGACTTCCTACTGAGGTCTGATAGGTCCAGCACCGCCTGCATTGGGCATCATAGCTTGATTCGGACCAGCCATGACAGATCCGTATGGCATCATTGGCTGCTGACCAGGTTGCATCATTGGTTGTTGACGTGGATCGTTTGTATAAGGTGGACGTTTTGTTTTATCGTAAATTGGTGTACGATTCATCACTCCATATGGACTACCAACCGGTCTGGACATCATTGATCCTTGTGGTGATTGCTGTGGCATCATAGCTGCTTGCATGGGTGATTGTGTTACCATTGGACGCATCGATGGAACACCAGCGGGCGCGTTAGGTGGGGGAATACCACCAGGTGCATTCATCATCGTCGGAGGACGTTGCATTGGTGATGCTTGTTGTTGTTGTATTTGATTCGGATACATGATTTATTGTTTGACAGAAGGTATTACGCTACGCTATATTGTATCTGTGCTGTAGAAAAGAAACATCGTACTTGCTATCATTGTTTGTGCATATATTTGATTCGTTGATGAATTGTACGTATCAAGAAACAAACAAAGTAGATGGCGGTAGCTGTCAACACAGTGTTCGTCTTGTTCATGTACAGATGCGTGAGTATCGATATTACCCTCTAATCCATATAATTCGTCATACATCTTCAACAAAGACGAAGATAATATAAAAGATACAACGAATTCATAACACACGGAATCACTAAATGAGAGTGAGGGCGTACCACTAACAAACACAAGAGTAAAAACAAAATATTCACTATCTTCCGGAGGTTGTTTTCACCATAACTCCATTTCTTCCCAAAACTGCCACAAGTATCAGTACATATGAGTGAGCACATGATTATGTACTCCAGCAATTCTATGACTTTAGATCGAGAATATACTCATGTATTAATAATATACATATCCTAACATGTCAAGCTCCCATATATTATTACATGCTGAGTACATTTTGTACTCGTGCTCACACAGCCCTTCTCACAGGTCTATTAGACAACAAGATTTTCGAATAAAATATCTCTTGGTTCTTTTAGTATACCATCAGATAAAAATATCAGCTTTACTCGGAATTGGAATGATGACATTGTACACGATATCGTTTATCTTGATCGTAAGAAAAAAAACTTTACGAATGCTACCATGACGCATTTTTCTTTGTTTTCCCAACAAGAAATGATCGTACTTCGTTCTCTACAAGGACATTCAGCGATGACTTTTTGACATGGGTAGGTGTAATTACAGGTAAGAGTTTCCCGTGCCATTTTAACTACAAGAAGTCTAGTTTATTTTGCTTGTCATCAAATTGTTTGGACTAATTTCGAAAATTCTCTTTGTAGTAATAGAATTACTATCATCAACAGAATCATCTGCTCAATATAAAAAATAACTTAATATAGATAGGCGAAACATATTCCCAAATGGACAGATCTGGAAAGCGTTCGAAAGCTAGCGATTGGAGATCGTCCGTCGTTATTTGATCTCATGTTCTGCACACGTCAACTGGTTTCTACCATCGCATCTTATTACATACTGCTGTTATGATTTCATCCACAGATCGAATCAGCGTTCATTCCTGGACAAGATTATTAGTATGTAGGTGATACTGATTTCTATCCAGGTGATGGCATAGTAATCTGATGTGATATGTGGCCGCTGTAACTTGTAATGTACATAGATCTCGTTTGTGATCGCAATAAACAGATCGTTTCATCAAATTAAATTTCTTTGTTAATATGTGTGCTCTGAAAATAACTAGTTAATCTCAAAACAGTGCTTTCCTATTCCTGCTTATGTCACCACAACAATTTTGTTTTATGGGACTACATGAGTGCCGTTGGCTTATGACCATAGCTAATAGAAGTTTCCAGCACAGACGTTCAGGCAGGAAAGCACCCCTTTTCCACTTATTCTATACAATTCCGATCAGCTCCCAACAGTTTCCGTCAGTTCCAAAAAGTTTCAATAGCACACATTCGCAATCGTGCGCCGCTATCCCTAGATATCTATTCTGAGCATCGACTCCATGCCAGAATCCACAAATATCACTACCCAGTCAAGGGGAGCAAATCTTCGAGAGGATTGATATCGACTAAAAAATCCGGTAGTGCCCATGCGCCTCCACTCGGATACGAATGGTAACAAACGGATTTTTGCTGAAAAATTTTTATCAGCATAACACTTCGTCGACTGAATGCTTTAACACAAAAAGACTAAATAGAATTCGAACGATTAAAATCATCTGTTCTTTGCCACTGTCGTCATCGTAGATCATTGACGTTCATTTATAGCATCTTGTAGATGACACAAAAACAGAAATCGGATTTGTTTTTCGGATTTAATTCAATGTACGATTGTCAAAAATATTTAATTGAGTGATCGTAATCATATTGACAAAAAGGTACAGTGGATCTATCTAGATCCCACAACAACACGGTAGATTACCAAAAACTTATAATTTTCTTTTCAGCAGTGATTGGCATTGAGACAATCATGTTAACAAAATATTTTATTGACGAATTATATTGTCGACGAAAATCTCTGTCAGTCAAAAACATGGCGTCCCACAGCAAGAGTTAAGTAGACGAATTCAACGGTACAGGATGTTGATACTCGTATGTGGAATATGGTGTCCATACGCATCATAAGTGTCGCAGCCGTTAGAACATGTTATCAAACAAAAATGGCGTCTACCCTTTTGAAATAATTTGAGAAAAGTTTGATGAAAGCAGCTTAGTTTTTGTCGACATCCAGTATATGGAGGTCTGCCATAATTGCGGCGTTAGATCACATAGATCTGGATGCACACACCAAGAAAGAAAATGTAGAACAACATTCAATAATATTGATCTCCGACTATGATTTCATCTGCCTTAGAAAACAGAAAATAACATATATCATTTCTTATGTTTTTATTGAATCGATGTTGAAAAAAAAAGACATGGTTTCACTTAAGAAATATAGGATTAGACGAAAAATTTATAGAATCATTTAATTGAAACTGCTTGTTAGTACGATAGGTTGAAGTAATGTTAATTTTTTTTTCTTTTCTCTGAATTAAATGGTTATGCAGGGGGAAAATGTCTTTTTCGAATATGTTTGAAAAACTTTAATCTTGAAGTTCTTCTTTATCGAAGATATATTCGCCAAGACCAGGACCAACACGACGTAAATTGGTGATGTAGTCCGAATATTCTTTAAGCGATTTAACCTATATTAAACAAGTTAATCAGAAAGTTATCATTTAAATCGAAGTTTTCATCTGCATACCTGTTCATCGAGAAATTCATCTTCAAGATAATTGGAAAGGTGTGGATCACTATGTATAGAAAAGGTAGAGACATGAATCGATTTCCATAACTTGTCTTACTTGTGTCTGCCAGCATATGAATGCAATTCGAGCAATGCTTGGTAAACATCCTTTTCCAATTGTAATGCAGTTTCATGAGCTTCAAGAGCCGAAGACCAACTTTGTTGAGTTGGTTTCTACAATTTTAAAGATCAAATCATTCATAGAGTCGAGATAAACTGGAAAAAAATATCAACTGACCTTGATATCCAAAAGTACAATTGTACCACCACGTTTGTTTTGATATTCCATAAATTTATTCGCATGTTCATGTTCTTCTTCAGACATCTTCTTGAAAAAATCATAATGTCCTAAGAAAAGAATTCATCAATACACCAAAGTTCGCGTCAAATGGTTCATTTCATACCTTTTAATGCAACATCGGATCGATTGAAATGATGTGCCATAGCCATATAAGCATAACTAGCATACAATTCTAAATTGATCTGACGATTGATCAAACCTTCGTTGTCCTCGTGATAGTTGCTAGAAAGGAAAAATAAATCATGATAGTTTACCATTAGAACAAAAGAGCATAACGTACTATCGAACGAGATTTTCTCGTGGTTGATTGGCTGCAACCGGAGCTTTTTGACGATCTGGTTGACCAGCTTGTTGTTGTTGAATTTTATCCATATTGCTTTGATTGTAATGAATTATTTTAATGTAATAAAAATCAATTCGTTTGGAGGGAACGATGACGTTTTAGTAAACACGATTTGTAACGAACAGTCACTGCTGCTGCAAAACAAATCGACCAACTGATGGAAGAAAATGACGATGAATATCTATGCATACATATTTATATAATAAGAAAAGAGGGCGAGAAGAAAAAAAAATCGAGAGAAAAGAAAAAGAACGATAAGAAAAAAAGTACGAGGGTCGACTCTTATTCTTTTTCTTCGCGTAAGTTCTAAATGCATGTATTGTCGTGCATCGACGTTACTAGACGGAGAAAATAGAGAAAGAAAATGAACGCCCCACTACGACTACCTATCTAGTGTGTCCGTTTAGTAAAAGGAACATCGAACAAAGAAAATGCATCAAGAGAGAGAGAGAGATGAAGAACACGTGTATTAATGCATGAATGGGACGTTTATATATATATATATTATTGGAAAGCAGCGAAGCCAAAAATCTCAAAACTAATTTTAGAAAAGATTTGATAAAAAGATGGCATTAGAATAAAACCGACCACTTTCATAATCACTTTTGTTACATACGTAACACAGTAGGGATGAAAGGGCACAAAATATTTTTTGCTAAATGAAGATAACTTGAATGTACTTTACCTAGGAAAAGGTTAAGCACACTTTCGTTACAAAAAGAACGCAGAGTCATGTCCGAAATCTGAATAAAGTACAGGTTGATTTTTGAAATGATAATGAGAATGTAAAAGTGAAATGGAAAATTTGATTGATTTTGTGATTCATCAAAGTACGAACAGTTACATGTCTTAAAATAGCTCTCTATTTGCCAAGTTTATCGAATACTGATGATGACTAAGAAGAAACGCAGCAATGTTTTCGTATCGGATGATGTCGAAAAACACTCTGAGATCAAGATTACATTGCCATTAGTACAAAAGAAAGGGCATCGCATCATCAATGGGTACTTGTCGAGGGTGAAGTCATTTCATTTCACACTTTTGAAAACGTTACGAACAGAAGTAACATCTAGTGTATGAATATGACTGAATAAGTGAAGAGGTTAAATGAGTATGTACAACAGTATTTCCAAAATATTCGATACAAACATGAGAGTTTCCTCTAGGTGATTACGAATTTTTTTTCTCAGCGTGTCAGGTTTGTCAGTTTTTAATCAGTACACTCTTTTATCCACATGATTTATGATACATCTTATTGTTTTTGTTTTAAAGAAGACAAAAAATACAGTTATCCGTTATAAGAAAAAAAGAATGGATAATATAATAAAAGGAAATCCACACACATAGACACACCAATGAAAAAGAGAAAGATTTATATCTGCGTAATGTTCATGAATGGTGCAGACAGGTGATCGTTATCGTCGAATAAAAACTACAGTTAAAAGCCCTAGGAAGAAGACGTTCGAATGTATCAGTTGTAGCCAAAAAATCGCTCCTTACCAAGTATGTAGCTGGCAATGACTTTTGAATTAGTTGTCATATGTAAATAAGATGGCAAACGTATATTTGAAGTGGTTGAATCATCAGGAATGGTTGGTGCTACTAGAATAAGCGCACATATGGCACCAAGAACAGTTAGAACAAAAACAACTAATGGATCGCCTAGAACAGAAAATCTCATTTTCAATATGGCTGGCCCGTTTGAAATAGAACCCACGTGTTTCTTGTTGTGTAGTAAGGGTTGAATTTGTCGTTGTTACCGTCGTATTCATTCGATTATGTTGGGTCGTACTACCGAGGCCTGGTTCTTCATCGAAATTTTGTTCTAAGGGTTTATAAGATAGGACTGAACATGTTACATCACGTTTGCCTAGAAAATAACGAAAGTTACACATAGAGATCAGTTGTCTTTGTCAAATGATTTGATACCAATAAGATCTTGGGACTTTCGACGATCAAAATATTGAATGCGAATTTTATGTACAACATTCTGATTGGTAGATGATGCTGATGTATCAAGAAGACGTACGATTCTTTAAAAGAAAACAAGTGATTTATTTGAATTATCTTAGATAAATAGGGCAATGAATCTTACGTATCTACAGAGTGTTGCGCACGAATTTCGCCCTGTGGTTCGGCGACCGAATATTTTCGTGGAGCGGTGCATAACACTATTAGAAAAAAATATCGATTGTTTGATTTCGATCGAATCGGAAATGTTATTTTACCTTTGTAACGGACAACGAAGTCATATGGGTTGTAGAGTGTTAAAACCTGGGAGTAGGTACTGGGATCATCTGAAATATGTTCGAGAAAGTTAGAAGAAAAAGATTCACGACTATTTTTTTCTTACCCAGGTAGAATAGAAGTGAATTGGATGAACAGAAAAAAGGCAATTGAGAAGCATTACTGGTCAAATGTGTTGGCAAGGACATAAATACATCTGTAATATACGAAAATAAAAAAGAAATAGATTGAAAGCAGTTAACAAACGCACACGCGGCAATTGTCAGTCAATGAGTCATTAAAAGCAGCTGACGATTACAATGAAGAGTAAAAACAAAGACTATTCGTAGATTAACTATTGCGAAGTATAATGAATAGAAACTTCAATTTCTATGATGATGTAAGTGAAATAAAATAAAGAATGAAATTATCGATGCTATGTACGCTGAAATCTTCAAAATCATTGGTAAACTCAACGGAATAATTTAGATTAACAAACAGCGTCATCTATCAGCATATGTCGCTCTTCCAAGATCTCACTGAATGTACTAGTTGTACTAAAGATTATAGAATCGGCAAATCGCGAAGGATATCTTGGTTTTACTAGAGGATTTGCAGAAATGACGCCGAAGTCGATGGAATCAAGCCTGATCGTTTACACATTGCTCTAAGATTTAGGGTTATTCACTGAGTCAGAGATCAAATTTAAGAAAATACGTCTGTTTGTGAATAGGTAGATAGTTTATCTATTCTTAGGAAAGTATCAAATCAACAAACAACTTCAAAATCCGTTGATGGTAGTATTCTTTTGCACTTATTAACATCGATAGCTATTTTATATCATAGCCATGAAACAATGGTTATCTTTGACTGAATAAGAACACGTATTCGTCGTTTGCACGAAGGTCATCTACACGTTGATTGTACGAACTTACTTTGAATTGCGTATCCGATCTACATATTACTAGTCGTCACATAAAAGCCAAATGTACAAAATCTGACCGATAAACTTGATCAAGGTTCTAGAAAATCAATGAGAACATTTCGAATTTTATCTGCTCTATTCTCGTTTGACACAACTACTAGTTTTAACTAATGCCATCTGCATGGAGTCTTGGATTGGCTAGTTCGTGATCATATTTGTATTCATGCATTCTGTTACTTTTTTCTTCTTCTAGCTCAAATAAAACCGAATATTCGAATTATTCTGTTGTTAACTGACGAATAAATGGCTGAGTTATCAAACGAGAATGCTTTGTAAATATCTTTCTGCTAATCTGTTGAAGGGTCTCTATCATCATATTTCTAGTAACAACTGGTCTCTGGCTAATCTTCAAAAGATTAATGTTCAAGAATTATACACTCGACAACGGCAGAGCTTACGTCCCTGGTTTGAATTTTTCAATACTGCTAAGTTTAAAACACCTAAAAATGTGGCCACTGGTATGTGAACCCATCTTATTCTATTTCAATCTGATCGTATCTCATTTTACTTATTTTCTTTTAAGGCACAAAACGATTAGTGGCAAATATCGAACATTATCAAACCAACTATGTTATCGTTATTATCATTCTATCTATCTATTGTGTGTAAGTTCGTTTATATCATGCTTAGCATGAAACCGTTTGCTTTCGATTAGAATTACAACACCGTCATTATTGTTTGTTCTATTGGCTATGGCTGCCGGATGTTACTTAGTTAATGTTAAAAATCGAGAAAAACAATTAGTTCTGATGGGTATACGATTTCGATGCATTTTTGAACAGGAATGTCATGCGAATAATTCTGTCTAGGACGTCAAATTCCTCTAACACAACAATACGTAGCAGTGCTTTGTCTTTGTATTCCATTGTTGGTCATGGTTGGAGCTGGTGCAGCTATCTTTTGGATTCTCGGTAATTGATGTACATATGAAGTATTGTATGTGTATTTGTTTGTGATATTCTAGGCGCATCAGTGTTTGTCATTGCTCTTCATGCTATTTTTCACCAATCACCAAATCAAGATGCATTCGGATTGCAATTGGAAGAAGTTTAAAATCGAAAATATTATAGAACGTTTTGAACAAATTTGTGATATTCTGTCTGAACTAGATCTGAAAAGATTACTTTGTTTCGATTGCACATGAAAGTCTTTTATCGTTAATTGATCTTTACTTTACGGGGAAAATATGCTCATAATAGAATATCTCGATATTGATTATATTCATATAGAATTTTCGTATTCTAGATGGCAGCGTCATCGAATTACGTTATCGAAGTGCGAATTGATGTTCTTAAAACATTGAAAATTGCTGGATTGGCAACTGGAGCCATAGCAGCGATTGGTTTGGGTGTGTATTATTTTCACCAACGAACTCAACGTGCTAAACGCGTCACTTTCCGAGAGGAAGTCAAACATATTCTTGAGCCTTTTCAATTAACCGACGAGCAACTTCGTCGTGTTATGGCAAATTTAAATACGGAAATGACCAATGGTTTACGATCCGATGATGAACGAGAGAAGAATGATTTAGCGATGTTTCCAACTTATGTTCATCATGGTCCAAGTGGTCAAGAAATCGGGGAATACTTAGTCGTGGACTTAGGTGGCTCGAATTTTCGTGTGTCACACGTGAATATCGAAGGACGAAATCGCATACGATTGAACAATAAAATATTTCTTATTCCTCATTCGCTGCTGTTGGGTGAAGGTGACAAATTGTTTGATTATATTGCTGAGTGCTTACAACGATTTATTGATGACAATAAATTAGCCTTACATAAACCAGCTGACTACAAATTTGATCTGGGTATATACGAACTCATTATTCCTTGTTTGGTCTCTATTGCTATTTGTTTTCAGCGTTTACATTCAGTTTTCCATGTAACCAAACAAGCTTACGACAAGCCAGATTGGTATCATGGACAAAAGGTTTCAGTTGCACCGGTGTTGTGGGTAATGATGTGGTTCTTTTACTGCAACAAGCCATCGATCGTCATAAAGTAAGAAAAATATCCACAAATACTATTAATGATTAATTCGAAATCAATTTTAGGGACTAAATATCCAAGTCGTAGCTTTGGTTAACGATACTGTCGGCACACTGATGGCATGTAGTTCGATATATCGTGATTGTAAAGTAGGTGTTATTCTCGGCACAGGTAAATAATTTAGTTCGGAAAGTGAAGAAAAAGATTTTTGTTACACAAATAACTCATTAGGATACAATGCATGCTATTTCGAAAATGTCGATAATGTCCCGAAGTGGAAAGGAGTACGAGATCAATCAAGAAAACAAATTGTTATCAACACAGAATGGGGTGCGCTCGGAAAAGTAGGTCTTTGGTTTGAGTGAGCAAAACTCATAAGATTTCATGTTTAGCATGGCTGTTTGGACTTCATTCGAACCAGTGTTGATCGAGAATTGGATGAATCTAGTTCGACACCAAATCAACAAGTTTTTGAGAAGATGATTTCTGGTAGGTTGAATGAAGATTGTTTGAAAATATGAAAGGACACGATATTTGTTGTTTTAGCACTCTATCTTGGAGAAATTGTTCGTCTGATAATTGTCGATTTGGTTCAACGTTCAATACTTTTGCCTGGTCGTATGCAAAAAACGCCAAGTCTTCGATCAGATTACAACATTTTCCTTATTCTACGAGGTAAAATGATTATTCATCCATCCCCTGGCCTTCGTAACATCCGTGTTTTCAATTTCTAGGTAGTTTTTACGCAAAACACGTGGCCGACATCGAATCGGACAATAGTAACTAATATTTAGATTGAAAGACGAATTCTAATGTGTTTTTCTTGTGTAGCGGAGGACTTATCAGTAACATCGTCTATTCTTACTTCTATTGGCATCCATGATCCATCCTATGATGATTGTTATCTTATTCGAGAAGTTTGCCGAACTGTCTCACTTCGAGCAGCTAAATTAGCTGCAGCCGGTAGGATCGTTCATTTTCCAAACTGCATTTAATGTCATCAATGTTTCAGCTATTGCTGTTTTGGTCAATCGTCTCAATCAACCGTCAGTGACTGTCGGTATTGATGGAACATTGTTTCGTCATCATGAAAAATTCAAAAAGAATCTGGCACGTACACTGAGTCGACTCGTACCTCGCACGGTAAGCTTGTATTTGAATGTAATTATGTAAAAACGTTCTTGACTATTGTTTGTTTGCAGCATCGTTTGGTTCTTTCTGAAGATGGTTCATCAAAAGGTTCAGCCTTGGTTGCTGCCGTCGATCGACGTATGAGAGAAACTGGCTTCTCTTCGTAATCTTCTCATGCTCATATTTCCTGCTTTTCATCTTCTCAACATTTAGATCTTGATTTTAGTTTTATTCCTAGTCATTTTAGTATTAAACTATTTTAGAATGTGTTCACCTTTAAAATCTTCTCGCTGATTAAGTTATTTGTACTTTATCGTTTTCCATAGATGATTAGCTATGTTTTCTGAACAGAATATTTTCAATACACATATATATATATTAAAATATATGTCTACCCGTCACTATTTTTCAGATATATGATCCTATGGATGGTCTCTATTTGCCCGATGGGCGTCAGCTCGCATTAATTGATCGTGATTGGATTTTAGACGAATTACCACATTTAGGCAACCCGGACGATAACTCTGACGCCAATTATCTTCTTGCATCAGCAGCAGCAGCAACAAGTGGTGCAGGTATTGCTACAGGTGGATCAGCAGGTCGTAGTGTAGCCGGAATCGGATCTAGTGCTGGAGGATCCGCACACGGTGTGTCAAATAATACAGGCGGAGGATCAGGTAGTGCAGACGGTGCAGGAGGACATCCTCACGGCTCAGGCGCTAATCATAATCACAGTTTATTGTACAATCCTGACGAATACGAGGGTGATTTAACGTTGTTATCTGAAATCGTTGACGAAACACAGAACAAGTGGTCAGATTTCGGTTTAAATCAATTACTTACACCTTACGCGCGCTCGATTCGACCAACATTCAAATAGACATTGCAATTTATCACATATTCATTCTTAAATTTACCACCTATGCCTTCTAGAAATGTGTGTTTAATTCGTCTTCGACGATATTTTCTTCGTTATAGTCTTTCATGTGGTCGTCGAACAAAACTCAAAAGTCTTCTGAAAATTTTCTTAATTATTATCGTTGCCTTTCTTTTCATGACTCTGATAAATGGGGTTCTGTTTTCAAGTTTGCTATTCTTTCAAGAAGATACCAAGGAACCGGATTATGATTTCGATACACGTCCATATTATAGAACCATCGAAATGAAAAAACGCTTCGATACGTCAGGAAACTATATAATCGTACAAAATTTCGTGCAATACCAATCGAATCTTACTAAAAACGCGGGCCTATTAGCATTGAATCTACATACAGGTATCGATCAACTTCATTTATTGTTACAACATGTTAATGTCTGGGATGGTCCAATATCATTGAGTTTATATGTGAAAGGCTCACGTGGTAGTGACGATATTGACTATGCAGCGATGTGGCTTCGATGTAATCGACGATCGTTTAAAGTACTTAACATTCATCTCGTCATTTCAGCTACAGCTTATAAAAGTAAGAGAATGTTGCAAAATTGAATTCCTGTATAACTAACTCTCCTACTCTAGGTTCGATATCAAGTCAACATCATTCTCATAGTGTTAAGTATACAGTTAACTGTCAGCAAGTGAGTTATACGAATCACTCCGATGAGAAAGATTCCACGCCCTACCCATCGAATCTTCTTCGAAATATTGCACGTCTTGGTAATAGCCATCCTTCTATTCAGTACATTTTAACCCTGGATATCGATATTTTCCCGTCGCCTGATCTCTTTCATCATCTCGTCTCATTCTATACGAAAACATCGATATCGAATGAAAACTTCAATAGCACACTTTATGTCATTCCTGTTTTCGAAATTCATACTGATACAATAAAACGTTCCATACCTTTACCACAAAATAAACACGAACTGACTCTTCTATGGAATGATCAACAAATTCAGCCGTATCAAAACGATGTCTGTCCAACATGTCAAGCTTTAACAAATTATCAAGCGTGGAAACAAGAACAACGAAGCGATGATATTCTTCCTCTCTTTCGTCCGCATTATTCTCAACCATGGAAACCTTTTTTTATCGGACCGAAAACGATGCCGATGTTTGATCCGCGTTTCAAAGCTCATGGGCATGCAAGAATAAGTCAAGTAAGAAATCAATCTGACTCTCTACTATTTCTTCGCATTTTCACTCGTTTAGTGCTGTGAGAGTTTTATTTCTGGTTATGATTATGCTGTTATGAATAATGTCTACTTGTATCGAATCGGTTTTCTCGAAAAATCTCAATTACCCAACACCAAATTCATCGAAGACGATACTTCATTACTGCTCTTTCAACAATTTTATGAAGATTTATTGAAGAGTTATCCAAATACCACAAGAAAATGTTAATCTGTTCTCTCTTTTTTTCTATATATATTTTTTTTCTGTTCATGTATACACATCTCCACACTAGTTGGGAAAGAAAGGCAAAGTCTAAAAAACGCATATGTTAATTGTAGATATGGATAGAAGGCAAACACATTCGTCGATAAATACAGATTGTGGAAGTGACTTCATCATTCACACTTCATCTTTAACATGGAAAAATCGTCTGCAAAACTTCTTCGGTATACCTAAACCCATAGATGGAGAAAATACTGACAGTGAACGATGCTCTTGGTGTATGTGAAATGAACATCGTAGACATTTACGATCTATACTTCGGATATTTTAGCTGCCGATACACTTCTCTGTGCAACTATTTTCCTAGAAGATGCTGTTAATTATCAATCTATAGCACATAAAGTAACAAAATTCTATTTGCTAGTTCATCGATGGTCATCCAGTCCATTGATTCGAAAGTGAGAATATTAAACTTGAATGACTGATTGCATGTCAATAATAATAATCTCATAGTCTGCACCGCATTGCTCTAACGATTAATCTTTGTTTGGCTTTGTTTGAACAACCTTCATCATTCAGTGTAACATCCGATGTTCGAGATAAACCGAAACGAATCGTTTTTCCATATTTACTAATGATGATTATTGAGGGTTTAACATTGATTTGGTTTCTTGTTTATATTTGTACTAAAGTAAGTGAATGCAAAAGAATCAAGATGCGATTTCTTTCGTTCGAAATCTCATAGATCGCTTGTCTTGGTGTGAAACATGCTCGGAAACGCTTTTGGATGATTGCTTTCTTTATTGTAACAATTTACTCGTTATGTGAATGGTTTGCGATGACAACATTAATCGGTTTAACTTACCAAGGTGTATGTAAACGATTGAACATCCATTGCCATGCACAATACACTTTGAATATTTAGACGCGAATCCGTCGTATCTTCCGTCCATTATTTATGATTGAATCATCTCAGTTGATGAAAAAAGCGTTGAAAGCGGTACAGAAAGATTTATTGACGATAATCGCGTAGGTGAATATTGAATGAAAGACTATCGTTTGTGCATGTCTTGTCGTAGTTGTGTTGCAATGGCACTTGCGCATATTTTGTTCTTTGCTATTATGGCTATGTTTCTTTTTCCACGATCAGAAGTATTGACTTCGATAATGATCTTCTAATCATCTCTTTTTTTCTCATTTATTACTTTCTTAGACTCGAAAAGATAGTCAAGGAAGTACTTACTTTTCCAGTTTACATGATTCCGTCTTCCAGCTACTTGTACTATATTCTACTGCGAACAATCCAGATGTGATGACACCCGGTACGGAATCTTTGTGTTCAGTTTCAATTTCGTTTACTTGCAAATTTAGCCTATTCGGATAATCGATTGAATGTGTTGTTCTTTCTCATTTTTGTTATTATCGGTAATAAGCTTGAATAAGATGAGACCTAGTCAATCTGACTTGTTATTTTTTTGCAGGCATTTATTGGATACAAAATATCATAACTGCTGTTGTGTACCGTGCTTTTCGAGGATATTTTTTGAATTCCATTATCAATTCACAATTACGACGGCGAGTCGCCATTCAAGCTTCGTTTGAAATTATGAAGAAACGAACGTTGCGCAATGGTTCAGTCGAAATCAGGTACCGTATTTCTTTCATTTATCTATTTGCAAATCTGTCAGCAAATAGAGATACCGTTCCGATTGTCATCGTCCAGACGATTGTCAATGCTGCTACAATGAGTAAATGGCACGCAGATCGAATTGGTCAAGTAAGAGCGAACAAATGTTTGCTACTTAAGATATTTTCAGTTCTTTTCAGAGACTATTTGAATTAACACTAGAACATGAAATAATTGATTTCGAACAATATTCTTCTATTATGCAGTTATTAGATCTAAATCCAAGATTAGTACAAGTAAAAGAAAAAAAGCAAGAGCCGATGTTCAAAAATTTAAATATTGGTTTGTGTTTAGGACATTGAAATTGAAACACTAGGTCAAAGTGTTCCAGATCGTTTGAAAGCCGTCGGCCGATCGCGCATCTTCGATAGCATTGGTACACTCTTAGCTCTATTGAGCGTTCTCTTCACTACTGTTAGTAACACAATTTCATTACGCATTAAAATTGTAATTCGAACATTTTCAGATTGAAGTTAGCCATCGTCATTTACATTCCGAATATAAAGATTTGGTTAGGCGAAGCATTTTCATCGCATTTATGAATTTAAGCTTGCTAATCTATTTTGTTTTGGAAATCGTTATGAAAGCTTGGTCGTATGGCCCAGACAAATATTTTCGTTCATCCGCAGCAAATATTTTAGAAACAGCTGTCGCTTTTACATGTTTTGTAAGTTTTAAATTGATTTCCATCAGCAAAGTATATCTAAGCGTCTCCTAGACATTAGAAATCATCCATATGGGAATTCATGGATCACCTGTTGTTTCGGAACAGTATGATATAACAATGAGTTGACCTGATTAGATTCGATTTCGATTGTAATGTAGAGATTTGGAATTGACACAGAAACAAATTCCATTTTTAACGTTATGGGAGGCGAACAAAGCTTGTAATATGCTGTTTATCTATCGGTTGATTCGATTTTTGCCCGCGTCGAAAAACATACAAATCATTGTTGGCACAGTGATTGATGAAATACGAAATGGTGGTGCATTTTTCGGAGTTTTATTCGTAAGTTCATTATGACAAATTCGATAATGTATAATTGAACGATGATCGATAGAGTTTTTACTATGCATATTCAATCCTCGGTATGGAATTGTTTGGAGGAGCCGTTGAAAACCTTTACTTACATCAAACTCAAACGAACATAACGTATCGTTGATGAGTAAACGATGTTTCACATAGACTTTTCATGTGTCTTTAGTGTCTGCGGTACATATGAGCAACTTGAATATTGGCCAAATGGTTTCGATGACTTTTTCGTAAGTGTATTCACTTGGACAATTTTCAGTTGACTAGTTCTTGAACTTTTAAGGCATCAATTGTTACACTTTACAATATCATGATTGTCAATCAATGGTTTGTTTTTGTCAATGCTTTCCGTGCTGCAACTAACACGAAGTAGATCATTTTCGAATATGTGATTATTTCTTCTCGAATTTGAATGTAGATGGAGTGAATTATATTTCATCTTCTGGTATTTATTCGTCACAACCATTGGATTGAACATATGTCTTGCTTTGAGTGGTGACGTAAGTTTTTTCTTGTTGGCTCCGAAGACGATCTTCTTCACTGAGAACTTGTAGATCCATGATGCGAAAAAGAAACGAGCTGATGATCATGAAGAATTGATTGTATCGAATATGTTTGACATATATCGGTGAGTGTAAAAGAAAAACAATATCAAGAATGACATTATTTTCGTGTTTAGATCTCAATTGAAAGAACCACCGCCTGAAGTGATCTTGCAACAGTTGAATAGACATCCCTATGTGAATTTTCGTGAAGATACAAGTAATGCTTAATGGTGCTGTTTCCTGCTTTTTTCATACTTCGATTTTTTCAATTTTTTCGAATATTTTAATATTTTGATACATAAAATTATGTCAATAGGAAATGATTTTAGAAATCCAATCAGAATAATAAGAAACTTTTGTATAAGTGCCTAAACCCGAACAACTAAATCCCCAAGAAATTAAACCAACTAGATACCATCGATTATGACGATGTAAAACCATGGGTCCACCTGAATCGCCCTAAACATATACACATATACAGATTCTTGGCAAATTTATGTTTGATCATTGAAATTTACTTGACAAGCATCGCATGTTCCATTTTCACATAGACCCGCGCAGAGATTTGTTTCCCAACTAACGGCATTTAATCGACAACGGTCATTCGATTGAATGGGCACTTCAACTTCGCGCAAATATCGATAATCTCCCGTACCTTTTTGAAATAAACCCTTATATTAAATTTAACTCACTTCAAACGATTAGACAAAGTCTACCTTGAGTTGCACCCCATCCAGTAACAAGTGTTCGTTCGCCGTATTGAATAATATCATCTTTGGATGGTAAACAAATAGATCGAATGAATGGATTGAATACTAATGGTTCTGTTAAACGAAGTAAAGCAATGTCATGCATCCATCTCGTCAATTTACCACTGTATAGTGGATACTATGGCGATAAAAAGAGTAAAATACGTGGATATTATCGTGTGAAATACATACGATAAGAATTTGTTTGATAGTTCTCGCAACTCGCCATGGTCCTCTTCGATGTCGATCATGCATCCCGAATTCTGCTAATAAACTTTCTGGATTTGATCTAAAGTGACATAAATACTCTTTGACCATGTTTGCTTTTGTTTCTCACATACCCATTAACACAGTGGGCAGCAGTGACGAGCCATCTGGCATTGAGAATACTTCCTGAAAGATTTCTTCAAAGCTTAGAGAAATCTCATGCAGAAAGGTACGTCAATCTCACCTCCGCAATAATGGCCGCGAATGTTGAGAAGAACTTGCCATGGATGACTGTGTGGTATTGCTTGTCGACCACCGACGATACGACTTGAGATTTCCCGATAATATTCATTACCGTTGGTCCATGTCAGGCCACATTCGGAGAATAACGATGTTCGAGCATTGAACGGCTTTTGCGCAGGTACAATCGTGGATTTCAAGATACTTGACATAGTAGTTAATAACGCTAAAAATCACTCTCAATTTCATCCAGGATCGATTAAATTTACTAATAACTTACGCGCAGTGTGTTTTAAGTAATATTTCATTTGAAAATCAACCTCTAGACTTGGATCGAGAATGTGTAGCGCAATCATTAGCATTCTTCCAATTCCACCAATACGAAGATTCTGTCGATCACCACATATTTCAAGTTTTTCGTGTTGTAATCCAATTGTCCATAAATTAACCGATCCACGATGACAACCTGTATGAAAATATTCTTTCATTGAGATTGGAATATATAAATAGTCAAATTCGACGAAAATCTTCTATAAAATTCCGAGATATTCATTCTGAAAATCTGTAAATCATCTAAATCTTCGTTACTTGTTGGTTTGAACTGGCCACTAGCCATTGACAATGTACAGGTGTCTTCATTGACATTAGAACGCTTTTATTTACAACGAGTATGCCACTATTATCAGCAAAACTACGTATTAAAGGACAGTTCATTGGAGTGATACAACGAATATGGTCGATTAGTATGACCATCATCAATGTAAAGGCTTTGCCTAAATAGTTCGATACGATAGAAATCATTCGGAAGATGGATAAATAATCGATCTTACCACCGGATAATGAAATCATCATTTTGTTGAATTGGATTCGACCGGATTACATAGTTCATTTGTATTAGATCTTCAGGGGTTTCAACCTTTTGATCAATGAGAAAAAGGTATCTTTTCATTTAACCTTTGAGAAAAAAAGAACCCTGATAAATACAAGCGAATCAAATTGTATTTCTAAACTTGATCAGTTCGTTTTTTTTCTGTTGATTTCTCCGTAAATCTTCTTGGGAAGAAATGATCTGCATATAATCTGGTTGATGTCTTGAGATAAGGATAATATTTTACGATGATCGTGTTAAATTCTTTTCATTTGTTCTTTTATTGAACAGCTGATTTTATTTGGCTTCTTTTCTTTCTTTATCCTCGCCAGTATACAATAAACGTATTTATGCAAATGATCATCTTCTTGACAAAGAAGTCTGTCGCGCATTTTGTTGCTTAAATTCAAGATGTTTTATCGTCTCAATTAGTTTATTGCATTTGAACATGCGTGTGTATACATATAAAGTGGAATTTTAAGTTTATTCTTTACTTCTCATCCAATTTCATATCTGTGGATAAGTGATGAATATAATAACAGGTTTATATCTGCAATCGAATGATATCGAAGTAATGTAATCGTATTGAATACAAGTGTAGATGTCTGTGTCCAATATTTCACTGTTGCTTTGAACACATACAATGATGATGATGATTACAAATTTCTACGCCTATAAACTTAAGAAGTAGTCAGCTCGATTGTATACACTCAATTTATTGCTTATAAGTTGTCTCTCTTTCTCCATGTCTTGTCGTCAGTAGTAAACGAAGAACGTACGTAGTGAAGGCAATTGTCCAGTACCATTGGCCGGTCATTGACTCACGCCGACATCGTGCGTCTTTCTTTCTTTCTCTTCTCTTTACTGTCGATAATAAAAGGGCTAATTTCTATATGTGCTCTTACAGCCCTTTTACCGCTTGTGTGGTAGTAATGGTTGATGTGCAGGAGAAAAGGAGAGAAAAACGAACGGAAGGACAACGACCAAAACAATCGATAGCTAGATGCGTATACGAAGAGTCAGTTGCTTGCGTGCCCCCTGCATTTGTCGACCTAACAGTGATTATAACTTGATCGTTCGGGTTCAATTTTTCTTCTCCTTCTCCTCTTTCGCTGAGACAACAGTGTTAGTAATGATCATGATGATGATTCCAAGTTAAACACAATTTGACTCTTTCTCTTTTCGTTGACTTTATCATTTTCTTCTCTACTCAAACGGACAGTGCGTATTTGTTAAAATTTCAACGAAGCGTTCGTAAGCTTATTAGGTTTATTTTCTCTCTACAATCATCTTGTTGTTACTCGACGTAAGTGTATCATTATGTAACTCGAAAATCTATGTTCACACCGAAAAAGTAATTGATTGAAACTTCAATATTGCACTAATACCAGCCTATACTGCTTCTAATTTACAATACAATCGACAGACACGCTGTCTAATATAAATATTGATTAACGTTTTGATTTAATATTTATCTTGCGATGTAACCGGTAATTATCTTCATATTTCTTTCAGTCTATATTACTTGAGTATTTCTGCTCTTTTTCTCCTAGTAAAGTCGGAATATATTCCATATATGAGGTCGCCACAGTGTTTTAGAGCTATTGGTTAATAGATAAATCTTGTTTATCAATCGTTCATCTTCTTCCTTCATTCCATGTTTTAGATGCATTATTGTTCTAAGAATCAATAGGTTTTTCCTTCTGATCGCAACAATGTCAAGTCTTCTTCCATCGTCGTCTCAAATCAATGCAAATTTAAATACCGGTAATAATACCTTACAACGATCAGCGGTTAACAATGCTGCAGCCGATGCACTGCGAAAAAAAATGCAACAATTACGAGATGAACTCGAACTGGTTAAAGATGATCTAGAACGTTCACGAAAAGATTACGAGAAAGAACAACGCGCTCGAGAAGTTGTATGTAGAAGATGTTGCTTTGATTTTTTTTTTGTCAAACGTTGTCTTCATTTAGGCCGAAGCAGACGTAAGTCAATTGACACGAAAACTGCATTCACTGGAAGAACAACTTGAACGAACAGAGGAACGATTGGTTCAAACTACAAATAAACTGGATGAAGCATCGCATACTGCTGATGAGCGAGAACGGTGCGTTTTAAAGATTCCCCTTCTCTCTGATATATTTGTTTCTCCATTTAGAACAAGAAAAATGTTGGAAAATCAATTAAATCTTGGTAGTGATCGTTCTGAAATGTTAGAGATTCAACTGAAAGAAGCACGTACATTGGCAGCTGAGTCAGATAAAAAATATGACGAAGTAGCAAGGAAATTACTGATACAAGAAAATGAACTTGAAAAAGCGGAAGATCGCGCAAAACGATCCGAAATGTAAGACGAATAACCGACAAATTCTTCACTCATTTCCATTCAAAATCTTCTTCTAGGAAATGTGTAGATTTAGAACATGAAATGAAAAATCTACACCATCAATTGAAATCTTTCTTAGCTCGAATTGATGATGTAAGTGTAAGAAATTATCGATCGATATCCCTTCTATTGAAATATTTCTAGGCTCAAAATAAAGAACAAACCTATGAAGATCAAATTCGTCGTCTCTCTCAACATCTAAAAGATGTAAGTCACCACAAATCGATTTTTGTTCGGAAACTGTACACTCAGAAAGAAACTAGGCTGAACGACGATTAGATCGTAGTTACGATGAACGAGATCATCTACAAAAGGTTGTAGAGTTCCTCGCAGGTAGTAAAACCGAGAATGAGTGCGAAGTTTTGTTTGTTTGTTTGTTTTTTACGCATATGCATGCATTTTTCAATTGCTGTGTTGCATGTCTAGGCCGAAACTCGCGCCGAATATTCTACCAAACAAGTGCAACGACTACAGCGTGAAGTGGATCTACTCGAAGGTTCGTTCTCTTATATTGTGCATGAATGAAATGCTAATGATAAGAATATTTGTTTTTGGATGATAGAAAATCAGTCGGATGAAATCATCATTTCTTTATCTTTTTCAGAGGAACTCCAAGGCGAACGAGATCGTTCTAAAACTCTTCAAAATGAAATGGAGCGTTGTTTCTCGGATTTACAATTACTTTAAACAAAATATGCAAATTCACGATGTCAACGCATCGAATCTCCTCTGCTATATGTCAGAATACTGACTGATCTCTTCTTCATGCATTACTATTAGCGTACAATATCCGTTCGCCAATTGTCAATATATTGTCTTTTTGTGTGTGCATGTGTGCGTGCTATTTCGCTTCGTTTTAACTCTGAATAAAGTAATCATATTATTATCTTTCTTTTGTTTTTTTTTAGTTCTTCAGAAACAGGACTCCTCTTTGCTTTGTTTTTGTACGTTCATGATAGTAGACGTAAATTCTGTATATGTAGCTTCAGATGTTTATCCATTCGTGGGACGAATTTGCTAAACAAGCCGAACGGCTGTATCTGAATGACCCACTGGCTTGCCGTCTTTGTTTGAAATATCGCAATGAGAATCTTCTTATGCGCATCACTGATAATCATACGTGTCTGCAATATAAAACAAAATATGCGCAAGATGTGAAAAAGATGGAAAAATTCATGGCAAGTCTTTTACGACATATGGCATCAAAGGAAGCATAAGGACGACGAAAGTTGTTGTCTTCGTGTCGTCTCGTGCGATGATCATTGGGAATAATAATGATAATAAATAAAAGAAAATATCATAAAAATTTCGTGTCTCTATTGTCTTGTTTGAAGTCTATTCATCAAAGAGAAATGAATACTTGTTGTTTTATGACCTGTTCTGTTATCGATTCACACCTTTAGTCTTATATATCTATGTGTCTCTTTTTCGTTTTTAATACGAAGTGATTTAGCAAAATGATTGAGACGAAAGATTGATAAGACGATGAATCTTTCATCCCTTTTCCTCTCTTTCCAATCGGATTGTATCTGAAGTTTATTGATTATTACATGAGAAGAGAGTGAACATGGTTATTAACAAGCAATCGACTAATGATGCATAGAGGAAAAATGATGAATTTTATATTAAAAAGATAAATGACGTGATGATGCGATCAACGAAGCCGACAGTTTAACCGTTGGATGTTTCATTGATAATCAGAGAAGAGGATATAAAAATTAAGGTTGAAAAGGATCGAATGAAATAATAGATTCTCTAGGCTTTGTATCAATAGAAAAGTATGTAATTGAAAATTCTATGACGGAAGCTTTATTTGTAAGGATATAAAGACAAAACAAAAACACGAGACAAAGAGAAAACCAATCAATATTTTGTACAAAAAAAATCCATCGAATTATGAAGAAGAAAGAAGAAGAAGAAGAATCATTATTCGACTAGAATGTGCGCAAGAAGAATTAGAATCATTGAGCTGAATATTTCTCTTAATATTGGTGGTTATGTGCTGGTTGATGTAGGTGATTCGTTCACTGAATTGGATATAAATGATGCAAGACCCATTGCAGGCAGCGCAAAATTAATCGATGGTTTCGAAGGCGAATGTTGTTGATGGTTCTGTTTGGGGGATGAACTAGAAGAAGTCGGTGATGAAGCTGACGAATATGAATTTGCTGTGTCAGTTGAACCGTTGAGTATTTGAGATGGTGGAATAGATCGTACTCTTGTGGCTGCTAGCCGAGCAGCTGCGGCGGCCAATGGGTTGATCGGAGGGAGAGTTGGCGTGCCAGTTGACTGTGTTGAAGGTGGAGGAACATAACCTGATGCTGCAGCTGCATACATATAGGAAAAGTATGAAAATGGATCGCCAGGGTAACCTGGCCAAGGAAAAGTGGGTTTTTGTCGTTTATCTTTCATTCGTCGATTTTGAAACCAAACCTATCGAGAGAAAGAAACATCATTCGTATTTGTAGACAATCAATTAATCAATAGTTTTTACTTTAATCGTCGATTCTGGTAATTGTAATTCTGCAGCCAACTCACAACGTCTTGGTCGACTAACATAATTTTCTCGAAGAAATTCCTTTTCGAGTCGTGCTAGTTGTTCGCGTGAAAAAGCTGTTCGATATCGACGAATGTTATCATCGTTCAGATTCGATGACGTATGATTATTATTACTAGTATGAGAGTGATGATGCGAATTGATTAAATTACTTGACATATTGTTGGACTCGTCTAAAAATTCGAATAGGATAAGAATGGATTTCTATTGACAAGACCTTCTCCTTACCATTATCATCAGAAAAGATTTCATCGTGAAACATTCTCGAACTACTTGCTAATAGATATGTCGATGGATTACTACTACCTAACATTATCAAATGAAAGATTCGATTATCAATAGCAGACGAAATCTTTCTCTCTTTCTCTCTTTTTTTCTCTTCTTCTCCTCCGCACTATCGAGTAATGATAGGAGAGAGAAACTAAAGCAAGTGATTCGATTGGTTAAGATCAACGCAAAAGAAAAATTAACAATAACTGTTCAGAGGGAGAGAGAGAGAGATGGAGAGCAAATAATTGCTAATATCATTAAATATAGAATGAACGTGAGGTGTGAACAATGAAAAGCATAATTAACAATTTACTTCTTCTCGTAAAGCTTCGAACGAATGTAAACAGATAAGACTTTGCATGAACAATTGCAGGATGAGACAATTTATAAATATGAAAGACGTACTAAGTCGGACATAAATGTCGTTGATGATTTTGAAAAAAAAAAGAAATATTCGATCGGATACAACTAATTGGCTACATATAACAAATCTAATCACTACTCCGCCCTTTCAACAAACGTTTGTGTCTCTTTTCATAAAAACATCTCTATATGTTCAGAGACACGCGATGTTTAGATGTGTCCATTCGACATATTCGAGGGTCAATAAATCTACACATTCAAATGACCATCATCTCATGGCCGCCAGTCACAAATGTTGAATGTCGTTAATCAATGATAGATAATCACACGTTTTCACATGACCCTTCGTCGAACAAAACGATTTCAACAAATCGTTTTCAATTTCATCTGCTTATTAAAAGTGTCAATTGATTAAATAAATCTTTCGCATTTCTATCACGAGAATGAACATCTCCTTAACATTACCAATCCCCTATAAATATTGTCTTTCTACTAGTGCGCATTGTTTTGTCTTTTGCTTTTACGAGCGAAACAAAGATATTGCGCGATGTGATAACAGAGTTTGAAGTTTCTCGATTAGTGTCTATTATTAGAGAACATGTTATTGTCAATTGATACCGACGAACAAGTCTCATCTAACAGATCGACATCTGTTTGAGACTCTCCTAATAGTACCTCTTTTCTAGTAGTGAATATTGAGATGCACTATTTTTAAGACACAACCAGCACAGTAAGAGAAAGAGAGGAAAGGTCAAGTTAGAAAACGAAGAAACTTACTATTGTCATTTGCAAAAGTCAAGTCATCAGTTGTATCTTGATAATAGTTTTGTTCGAAGATGCCCATGATTCTTCAGAAAAAGAAATAATTCGAATTGAATCGTACCGAATAAATAACAATGATCGAAATACGTGTTGTTTCTTTTCTCTTTACATTCTTTCTCTTCTGATTCGTTCTTATATTCAAATAATATTCAACACCAATCACACTCATGGAGGTGCGATCTATGTTTTTTTTTTCTATTACTAGCAATAACCATTTTTCGCACGGCTAATTCTTATTTCCTTTGCCGCATCGATATAAATACATCGTAAAAAATGTCTAATTGCTAAACATAAATTCATAAAGACAATGTTTATCGTTATTATTAACTTCATTGCATGGAAAGAGAAATGGGAAGTTCCGGTATGACGATGGGGACGATCTTGACAATTTCCGACACTCAATTTGTTGAATTGTTCAACAGATTGAAAACTGATTAAATGATCTTGACTTGTGATCTCTTTTTGTGCAAATTAATCGAAATTACCGTGTTGTATTTCATGTTCTTTCTGCATCATTTCGTATCTGTTTGAAATGGTAATTTTTTCTAATATCTGTTTTGATATACACACATCTGTACGTATGAAAATTCTCAAGAGCGATCAGAGAAATGAAAATAATAACAACAGGGACGAGTTTGATGACGATTAACACGTTTTAGTCAAGAGTCGTTACACATTTCAATCAAAGTAGAAATATTTCGACATGTGTTATGTTGTTACTGCTTGATTACATCAAATTGAACAGAAGACGAAAGATCAAACGCGAAACTCATGGTGACAAACCTTGAAAAGAATTTGATATCATCATTTTTATGAGTTGACTTACGTCACGCGGGAAGGAGAAGACGCTGACCTAGTTTCATGGCAAGTATACACTTGTTCATATGCATCCGTTAGATTAGAATATAGTTGACAAATCTTTCTTTGATCGAATGTATGATAGAGATCAAAACATCAACATATCGTGTGTACGATCAAACGAACGACACAGATCATAAATCACTATGCTCATCTTCATTAGCTTGGAAAAAAATATAATGAAATCTACATATCGATTTGATATTTCTTTTGGAACAGAGCGCCGCCCACGATAGACTAAAGAGATAAGGGAAACGAAATGCGGTATTCGTGTTTCGCTTACCTGCAAATTACCAAAATCAACTGTTTTTTTCCCCTATTTGATGAATGATGCGTTACCGTTTCGCTTGTATGCATAGATAAAGATGAATTGCATGTGTATGTTCTGCCTTTCTTTAGATCTAAGTTAATTTGTAAGAATCAGTATTAGAAAAGTTCAGATTTATTCTTATAGTCAGCAATGATAACCTTTCTACGAAATGAAATTTGATTTTGTGACATTATGTATATGATTACCGATCTAAAGAACATTTTTATTATGAACTATTCGAAAGAATTCTCGAATTGCTTATCTTATGCGACATAGAAACAATCTATTGGAATGTTCTCGATGAATAAATGGACTTCTAATCAGTTTCACAGGAACCTTCTATGGAAGTTATAGATAAACATTCGGTGTGCACTGACACATAGCGCCATCTTCCACACAGAAACAAAAGTTTTTTTTCCAAAAAAAACATTCCAACGATCGTTGATTTTGCTAATTTTTTTAGTTAGAATTTTGCATTGATTTGAATTTAATTCGAATGAATTGATC